GTCTACATAGGGACCACCAAACGCAGCGCCCAGACACGCATCAAGGAACATGAAAGGCACTGCAGACTACTTCAACCAGAGAAGTCAGCCATAGCAGAGCACCTGATGAACCAGCCTGGACACAGCATATTATTTGAGAACACAGAAATGCTGGACCAACCAAAAGCCTAACTGAGATGGCATTGAAATCCACAAGCATGTGGACAATTTCAACAGAAAGGAAGAACACCATGAAAATGAACAAAACTGGCTACCAGTATTTTAAAAAAGTAAACAGTAAATAAGGAGCAACACTAAAAAAAAAAAACCAGGGCCAGGCACAGATTAACACCTTCCAGCAACAGATTTTCCCAGACTCAGGCAGGCCTTCAAATGCTAATGAAGGTGATCAGCTAAACATTCACACCTAACTGCAGCAGGGAAGAGCTCCTTGCCCCACCCCAGCCATTCCACAGATATATAAACCCATTTTTCCTACTTCCAACAGACCTTCTCAACCTCTGAGGATGCTTGCCATAGATGCAGGCGAAACGTCAGGAGAAATGCCTCTAGAACATGGCCCTATAGCCCGAAAAAACCCACAAGAACCTAGTGATTCCAGCCATGAAAGCCTTCGACAATAAATGGGGTTTTCCTGCATGTCAGAATTAGTCCTGGAACTAGTTACTTTTTCTGCCTTCCCTAATGTTATGAGGCTGAGATACTGAAAGCTATATGTGAGGCTTGTTGGGAGCAAATCCTGTAAACATGTCTAGCCACAGCAATACAGAGGAAAAACTCCTCTCCAACTCAAGAAAGTTTTGAAAGGCTTCCTGGTCTTCAGTTTTAGAAAAAGAGTGCCTCCTCTAGCCCTCCCCATCACAGATGACTCAGTCTGCAATGCAGGAAGAGCAAGCGCAGATTGTTTCCTAGGCTTCCTCCTGCGGACCAGCCTTTTTTCATTGGGCCTATTGAGAAAGGAGGTGGTGCACAAGCCGAATTCCCCTTTGTGACTAGCAAATGGCAGTGGTGGGTATAACTAATCACAGAGTTCCCTCTGCAGGCATAGAGAGGGCACTTCTTACATGCATACACCCTGGTTTGCATGCAAAGTAGGGAGAGAATGTGGTTCCTTGTGGGCTCATTTGGGTAATGTTCCATTATCTGGGTGGAGGCCGCAAGGAGACACTAGGTAGAAAAAGACAGTCCATTTTACTGGGGTTTGGGTGGGGGAACTGAAGGAGTGAAACTATTTTCCCCAGTTTTCCTGTTATTGCCCTCTACCCATGTTGCGGTCATGGAAACAACCCTCATTTATTATATGGGAAGGGGAGGGGGGGGGGATAACCAGCAAAAATGATTTTCCTCCTTCAACTCCCCCCCACCACCAAATTGTCTATCCTTCTCAGTCTAGAGCCCCCTTTTGGCCTCTGCCCAGATAACAGAACAGTACCCTCATTTGTAAGCACTTTTAAGCATCCTTAGTAATTCTGAGTGCAGAATGCTGCTGTGGGTGGAAGGACCACAGATATACAGCAATCTGTGGTTGCTGTATATTGTGGGGGAAGCTCAAAAATGGCAGTGGCCGTTTCCCTGCCATATGCAGCAACTCTATGAAAGCATTACGGGTGATGCTGTACAAGTATGGTAGAAGAAAATCCATTCATCAGGACTTGTGGACTTAATGTGGTCCCGATGGTGAGGTGAAGGGGCACCTCACCAGGAAGGTGTAAGTGAAGGGCGGAGCAAGCTGCAGGAGTCCGGGGTGCCCGGTGTATGGAAAAAAGAGATAGAGTGGCTCTGGGTCCAGAAAAACACAACTCTTTTACCTGTCTGGCCCGCCCTTGTATCCTATTACCGTACCTCCTCGTCTGTCTCTCAGATCTCGCTCCTGAAAACTTCAGTGAAGTGGTGCAGGTGCGCATGTGCGAGATCTGAGAGTCAGAGAAGGAGGTACAGTAATAGGAAAATTACCATATTGAAATCAAATCTGATGCTTTAAAAAATTTTATTTGGTGTGTGTTGGAAGAGGGGTAGTCTTATACGACGAGTATATCCCAAACTCTGTATTTTTAACTGGAAAAGTTGGGGGTCGTCTTATATGCCCAGTCATCTTATATGCCAGAATATACAGGGTACTCATGTTTCGAGGCCCATGAGAAGTTATGTGTCATCCTGAATTATCCAGTGATGAACAATTTAGAAAAAAGCAAGTGAGGAACTCCCAATGCTACATCTCCATATTTGCTGCCTCAGCTGAGAACCATCTCCCTTTCACTAATGGTAGTTGCAATTTCTGAGCTCTACACTAGAGGAAGCCTAGAAACAGCCCAATCAGTAAGCCAAATAAAGAACTTCAATAAGGAACTGGCAACTAGTAATAATATCAGCATCACCACTTAAGAGATTTTTTTTCATGTCAGGAGCAACTTGAGAAACTGCAAGTTGCTTCTGGTGTGAGAGAATTGCTGTCTGCGTGGAAGTTGCTCAGAGGATGCCTGGATGTTTTGATGTTTTACCATCCTTGTGGGAGACTCCTCTCATGTCCCTGCATGGGGAGCTGGAGCTGACAGAGGGAGCTCATCTGTGCTCTCCCCAGATTTGATCCTCTGACCTGTTGGTCTTCAGTCCTGCTAGCACAAGGGTTTAACCCATTGGGCCACTGGGGGCTCCTATCACTTAAGAGATAATTCTGCTGCAAATGTAGTATTATTTATTTCTGTGGTTTCTTTCTGCTTTGTAGTTTCCTTTGAACACAAATCTGAAAAAGATTCTAACAGACAGGCTCATGGAAGAGCTCCTAAGATTATTTCCTGCAGAAATAGCAGTTTGATGGTGTTAGCTGGATTATGGGGCTGGTAAAGTGTACTAGAAACAAGGAAGAACTTGTGCAATGCTGGGTCAGGCACATTCCATTCCCTGAGATTTTAGGCCAAAACCCAAAAGTAGATGGTATCAGGGGTCTCCTTCTGGGTCAGCGGGTTGTGGAAACAGAGATAAATACATTTGGATTAGAACTGAGTTAATCAGGTAACAGGACAACACAGAGCCAGCACAGAAAACATTCTTCAAATAGCTAGGCAGCAAGCAACATAATTCTTCCAGTAAACACAACCAGTTGTTGCTATTCATGTTTAGAGTTTGCATGGCTTACATGGTAAGTTTGCATGACTTACATGGTAAGTTTCTTCCAGAGTTCACACATCCATTGGGACTTCTGGAAAGCACATCAGCCACCTAGGCATTTGTTTTCCTCAGGACATGTGTGTATGACTAGAAGGCTCAAGGCTTAGAAGGTACTGTATAATGTTGCTGCATCATTCCTTACCTTGTTTCACATGATCCAAGTGTATGCATTTATGATCTCTCTCTCTTCAGTGCCTTCTTCTTGCTTTGATGTAGTGAAGTTACACAAGTGGCAACACAAAAACATTTTCACAGTAAGATGGAGAACCCCACTTCTAACTGGAAATGTGTGGGAATGGATTCTAGCCTTAAATGCAACTGCACAACAAAATATATCAATTTCCCTTCTCTAGTGTTGCTCGACCTGTGATTTGTTTGCCCATTTGAAGAAGCACAATAATTTCCTTAATCTACAACTTGTACCTGAGACCTGGCAATCTTATGTCATGTTTTTATGAGTGAAAAGACACATTTCATCTGTTTTGCCTTGTAATTATCAGCTCATGTTTATCAGCTCCTTTTTCTAGTTCAGCTCCTTTTTCTAGTTCAATCAAAGACATAGTCATGTTATCAGTATACAATGGGATCTCGTAGTATCTAATGAAATGGACTGAGTCTCATAAAGCTTAAGCTACAAACTTCTTAGATTCTCAAAAGTACTAGAAAGTCCATTTGCATTTTGTTTAGAGAAAAGCTGATAAAAACAACAGTAAATGTAGATAACTTAGTATTGGGAAGTCAAGAAGTGGTGTAGCATTCTGAAATTCAGGTATAGGTCACTTAACAAAGTCTCTGACAAAAAACCCTTTTTATAGTCTTTTTACTCCTGTACAGTTCCCCTTTTTCTCTTCATCCTCTATCTATGTAAATGGATTTTTAGCAGCATCGGGATTGAGGGGATGTTGGAAATACAGATTTTTTTTGCATTGGGTTGCAGCAGTGTGTCTGCAGTAAACAATGTAATAAAATTATTTATTTAGATTTATACTTATACGCTTGACCACTGAAATGGAAACTGTAAGAAAAGTGGAGTTTGGTGGAGGAAATGGTCACCCCCAGATGTATTTTAGAGAAAGCTTTCAGATGATCTCTAGACATTTCAAAATACCAGCATTTTTGCTTGGTTAAGACAGGCTTATTAGACCTGGTTGCCTCAATTCACTAGTGCATATTGTTAATTTTGAATTTTAAAAAATGCATTAGTATCTCTGAGACAATTATTATTATTATTATTATTATTATTATTATTATTATTATTTCAGACATTTGTATCCCGTCCTATTCCGACCTCTGCAGAGGGACTCAGGGTGGCTAACAACCGGCACACCATGGTGCCCACAACCAAAAGCATAAATATACAATTTAAATAAAAACAGTATAAAAACAGTATAAAAACATTCAAACAGTTGCCTTGGTGATGCGGGCCTAGCTTAGCAGAACTTACATTTCAGTGAAATTATTTCCTGCATATCGCAATTAAGCTTCTAGCGTTGGACCAGGGCATACGCGCTAGGGGCACTGAGAGGAAAGCGGTTCCTATGGATTTGTTCAAATTGTTTCTGCAACAATATCTCCTCTCTACAACAGGGATGGAAGTAGTTTTGGGGAAGTGCAACTGAGCAGCCTTATTCTAAGAGGATTCTGGGAGCAGTAGTTCAAAAAATACATTTCCTGAGCTCTGCCTAATTCCATCTTTGTTAAACTACAGACAGAACTCAGTAAATTTATTCTTCCTGATATCTACTAGCATGTGTTTTTAGCTTTCAGTCAATAGGCTTGTATTGGCACACTCCCTTGATTTACCTCCACACAAAGACACACAAAAGACACCAAAATATGATAAGTTCCTCTTTTTTTCTTTTTTACACAAATATATACAGAGTATTATACACATCTCTACACAGACACAGTGCCAGTTAGAACACAGCTCCCTGCAAAAGGGGGGGATGGGGCCAATGGTCCGCACCCAACCCCATCCACTAACCACACAAGTAAGCCAGCCCTGTCCTGCGGCTGTATGTACAGAGAGATCAGAGCCATCCCAAGTTGAGGCTGTGGGGCTGATGCAGGTAGGGCAGTGGTGGCTGGGCTTAGAAATTATGGCGCCAAGGGGCCAGTACAGAGATGGAGAGGAAACCCTGGCATGGAACACATACTATTTCTAGACTGTATCAGAAAAAACATCCCAGGACAAACAATTAAAATAAAATCCACGTGCATTTCAGCAGCAGTGTGGCTGAATGTGTGGTGATGATGGCAAGGAAAGAATAAGAAACAGTTTAAACACAGGCTTCTCCCCCGTCCCCCCAAACCAAGTCCCAGACAACACCTGAAAAGGAAACCCACTACAAAACCCACCACAAGCCATGGCTCAGCTCCTGAGGGCATCCTCAGATCCTCACATCTCCGCCTAGAAGGGCACATGAAGTCCATCTCCTTCTCCCAGTTCTCTAGGGTCTTAGTCAAAAAGCTCCAAGCAGAGTCTTGGCTATATTTGTGACTGTGTGTATTAGCTCCCCCGTTTTAACTAGGGTGCATCATATGGAGGTACACAGCCTTGTCCAGTGTTAGAAAAGATGGTGACTTCATTCAGGTTTATAAAATACCTTAGCTAAAATAAACAAAAACACCTTGTATCCTATTTGGAGACAGTTGGGTCTCTGCTTCTGGTAACACTGGCAGCATCCCTCAAGGATAGCTTCTTGCAGACAAGGAACAAAGAGGTGGAGATGAAGGGAGGGCAAACATTAAGACACTTAAGCAGCAGAAACTGAGCCCTCCGTCCATGTCTGAGAAGAGTATTCAACTCATGGAGTTGATACACTCTGGTCTAAAATCCCTGGGTCCCCCGAATGCACCCTTGAATAGCTGGCCATTTGAGCCAGAACTGCTGCTTGTAACATCTACATCTCTTCTATTTGTCATCTCCCTGCAAGGCTGAAAGTATCTTCCCAAGCAGATTTATTGAAAGGGCCTTCAGAAATTGGTGCAAGGTGATCTATTTGCCAATTGAACAGGAATAAACAAACCAAACAATGCCCTATTGTGCTTGAACACAGGAGCTCTCCCAAACGTATGTGCAAAGGAGACAAATACAGTGATAAGATGTGAATTTGAAGATAATGCTTGAAGAATCCTTGAAGAGAAAGCTTAGGAGACAGTAACACCTTGAGCCAGAAAGAAGATGGTTTCTTGGAGCTGCATGCAAAGCAGCAAGATTGGAAAAACAGGGCAGAGTGAGCTGCCTGTGAGAGAAAGCACAGGAGAGGAGGTATCATGCAAAGCTTGGAGGTGGAGCTGGATGATTTCAGAAGCTTCACAGCCCCTGGGATTCAGTGGTCTCTCCCTCTATAGCAAACTGTACAAAAACCAACCCTTCCCCTCTTCTGCCTCCCTAGAAATTAGACAAGACAAAGAGAGTGTTTGGGTTTTAGTCAGGTTTAAAGATAAAACAAATGTGCAAAAAATGCTGCAGACCCCAAACTGCACTGTACCCCAGATGGGGAATCCCAGCAACGTGTAATATGGGCCCCCATGTAGTTGGTTTGCCATGGAAGGAAGCAGAGGAAGAAAAGAGAAGTACTGGATGGACAATCTTCCCTGCTAATTCTTGGCATTCCCCTCGCCCTGCAAGGGGCTTGTTTTTGCCACAGGAGCTGCATTTGCCACTAGCAGCTGCTCACTGGCAGACTCTGGTGCCAGGTAGCACTCTCCAGTCGTGGCTTTCATTGGATCGCAGTCATGGCAGCAGGGCCCTTTTCTGTACAATCCCTCTGGCTCTAGACTTGAATGTGCGCAGCCTTTGCTGGAGGGATAAGAGTGGCTGAGACCATAACTGTCCCAGCATTGTCTGGGGACTGGAGGCAAAATGCTCATCGATGCACAAGCATGTGGGAAATGTATACACAGATTTAAAAACAGCTGTGCTTGGCTGGAATCACTGATTCAAGCCAAGTTCAAAGCCAGCTCTCCTTTTGTTTGAAAATACCAGTACCATTGATTACAGTTCCGCTCTTTTAAAAATCTAATACCTTATTAGTGTCCATGATTTTAGACAAAAGAGAGAAGAACAGTGATGGGGAGGATGGGGCATGTGCTCCCTGGAAGAGGAGGACGAAGAAAAGGAGGACCACTTTGCCACATCTGGGCTCTGATTGTCCTCACTTCTGCTCCTCTCCCTGTTGTGCCAGAGCTGCAATTGTACACAGCCATTTCCTCCCCACTGTCTTGGGTTTCTAGGGTTCCAGAAGGTGTTAAGGGGTAGGTAGCTTATAAGAGAAATTCACCTCCCATTCCATAGGAGGAGGACAGAGAGAGAACAGGGGTAGGGAAGACAGGGAATGATGTCTGATGGCAAGGTTGCTCCCCACCTTGGAATGAGCGCTAATACAGGAGTCAGGTGGGTGAGGAAGGAGCTGTGGTGGTACCTGTCTCATGCTCCCCTTTTTTCCATTTTCTTGGCCTTTCTCTCTATCACTCGCTCACACAGAACACATACACACAGTGCGCAGCAGCCTCGCCAGCTCATGGGACGCCCCTGCTTTGCTTGCATTTTCCCACATTCCTAATGGTGGATCTCATTCTCTATCAGACTGTCCTCGCATGACTGGAAATCCGTATCGTTTATGCCATTTGGGTTGATGAGCTCCTCGTCTTGGGACCCTTGCTCCTCGGATTCTGCCACGTCACCCTCTGGTGAAGAATCTTGCAGGACTTGAGCAATGTACTTCTGCTGTGGAGTGGATATATAAAACAGACAAACAAAGAATGGAGTGGTTAGTCCTCTGGTCTGTGTGAGGACCTTGGTAGTAGGGTGTAATGGGTATGTGCCATGCAGTTTGGGAGTTTGACAGCAGTCATACTAGCAAACAAAAGAGAGTAACATTGTGCATGAGATAAATGTTTTACAGTATGGTGTTGGGGATGAAAGAAAAAGGGTTTTACGCCTTCGGAGTTTGGATTCAAACATTAAACAATGCTCCTAGCACCATCAGGGAGTTAATTTCTTGTTTAGGAAGTGCAGAAAATCCGACTTTAAATGAATATTTTCAAACCTCTTGTAGGAGGAACACAGTCTTAGCAGGCTGGCTAACACATGTACTAAGGAGGCTCACAATTTGGTCATGAAGATCTCAGCATTAAGAGATCTTGATTCTGCTCCCTCTTGCCAAGTCTACAGGAAGACATTGAGATCTCCCTTCACATCCTGGCTTATTTGCAAGTTATTATACAGTAAATGGCCATTAGCTAGATAACAGGATCAATCACGGTTAATCCTGCAGCAATAGCTGAGTACTTGCCTCATCTTCAGAGTGCAGGTCAGACCCAAAAAGTTCTCTTAGTAGAATTTCTATTATAAACTATAGTAACTTAGCACATCAGGATACATTCCAAGGGGAAACAACCCAAATTTGCTGTTTCCTGGCAAGTTTATAAGAAGTTTGATACATCAATACAGCACCAATCAGATAATGGAAGAGGAAACCCCACAAGGGAGGAATTGGTCCTTCCTTCTCCACTGGGTGGTAAAGGGTGTGATTGGCCCTTGCAGAAATTCTGTGGGTGACCTAAAGGACATGTAGGATCAGAGTAGAACATCATAAGGAATTTTGCGTAAGTGTGTAAGTGCTGCGTAAATGGAAACTCGTATTCAACATTATCCACCACAACTCACAATCACATATCAGTTTACTCCATTTATGCAGGCTTTACACATTTGTGTAAAATTATTCATAATCTTATGGGGCACCATTTGATGATTTCCAGCCTTTCCCTATTTCTTACATGAACCAATCAGATTTTATAATGGCAAAAAAATTCACTAAAACATAGGCATTGTACTTAGGAGTTTGGCAAGCTTCTGGAAGCCATGTATGAGGTATTCTATTGCACACTTTGTGACATGACTGCAGTAACTGAAATTTCCACAGGGCTGTCCAGAAACCATCCTGCTTTCAAATAACTCGGGAGTGTAGGGAAGGGGTGTATCACAAAGCCTCCACTGGAGAAATGTTCCCATTCCACTTAACACTAAATTGTATTGGGAAATGAAGGTTCTGCAGCACATGGCAGTGTATAAGAGTCAGAAAGTGAAATGATTGAGTTTGGTTTCACTGTTCAGCTGACAAAAAGGCAGAAAGTAAATAAACAGTATTAGGAGGGGTTTGGAACATCCCTCATCTTATAGAGGCCCAATAGCTATTAATTCTGTTTCCTGTCCATATTCCTTGATTGTTGCCTTAGTATAGCCAAAAAAGTGGAAATCTGGCAGGAAATCTGTAAAGGCCTCTTGTTCCTCTCCAAACTCGGACATAAGAGGACACAGAACATCTTCTGAGGCAGAAGGCAAACAGAGAAGCTGGAGACTCACAGCTGATTTAGGAGCTGGTGGTGGGTTTGTGGCCGGCTGTCCATTTTCCCTTCCATCCACAGCATCCACTTCTGTGTGATCAATCTGGAAGACAAAGATATAGCATAAATCCAAAGCGCAGAGCCAACTGACCAATTCCATCCTGATTTATGTTTAGGAATGTTTCTAAATTCAGGAAGAAGGCAGAGTGGAATGAGGACTCTGGAAAAGAGTTCCTTTGCAGATATGTTCACTCCCCTCTGACTTTTTAATGTTTTGTTGTGTTTAATCGGCATTGTTACCACTTGATGTGCACAAGGTACTCAGAATTGTGAAAGTGCAAATTATTTCTACTGTGGTATGGATATGGGGTAAAAAAACACACTTTCATTTCAAGTCTAACAAAATCTGGAAAAATCAAAAGACCATGCAAAAGATAATTCTGCAAGGCCTAGCATTGCAAAATGTTGGGGTTTGTGTGTTCAACATATTTCTTTATTAGTTTTGCTATGTTCATTAAAACAGTATCTGATGCCTTTTCCATGGGGCTCTCCTCACCTTTATTTCATGTTTACAACAATCTTGTGTGGTGGTTAGTCTAAGAGGATGGGTCAGATTCAAAGCCTTTCATGGATGAGCACTTTTGAAATGTGATCTCCACAGTCCCTGTCCAACAAATCTAACCAACTATCACAACTAGAAATTTATGGAAAAGGAGCAGACAAGATTTTTTAAATCTCAGCAGGAAAATGTGGAGCATCAGTTTGTACTTTACTAATTTTTTATGGAAGCTGCTGCTTCATTGCCTCTTTTACCCAGTGCTTCCCAACCATTGGTCCTCAAGTTGTTTTGGACTTCAGCTCCAAGAATTCCCAGTCAGCTTACTAGCCGTTAGGAATGATGGGAGCTGAAGTCCAAAACACTTGGAGAACCAAACATTGGGAATGACTGCCTTACACAATTCCTGCAACAAGGGATCTACGTGGGTAGCGTATGATGCCAGTGTTTATCTTCTATGTGGAGTGAAGTAGGTGTTCTGGCTCTGCAGGATAGTTCCCTGTATAAATGTTGTCGAAGTGGCTTGTGAGGAAGCCATGGGGGATAGGTTTTTTTTTAAAAAAAATCCACAGTAACATGAAGATCAGTTAACTGGAAAAGTGATGATTTAGATTACAATCCCCTAAAGTGACATCCATTTTTTTCAAGCTCTGAAATAATTCCCCAGAGAGTTTTTATGAAGCAATGGAAATCAGTGGAGAGTGAATGGTCAATATGTAGTCCACACTGTAAATTATGCTTCTTTACTTGTTTGTCTATTTAAATGAAACAAACCATTGTTTGTTTGGTATACGTGACAACTGTACACACTGGCACACAGGTGTTCTCCTGTATTCCTTTGGGGAATCTTAACAATTTAACCCAATCCTAAAGGAACTCTAAAAATGCCCATCCCTTAGAAATATTTTAGTGCCTTACCTTGTAATTGTGAGCACTGAGGTATTTGAAGTGTCCAAAGCAGACGTGACACAAGCAGATCACAATAGTGATGACAAGGACCACAAAGGTAAACATGGATGTGAGAGCTAGGAAGCCTGAAAAAAATAAAAGAATCATATAATGGCTACAAATGTGAATCCCATTTATTTCCTCCCTTGATTCAAAGTGTCCTCAAACTGGCTTGTCCTCAAACTGGCCTGAATAAACACAGTAAGGCCTTGGTACCCACAGGGGATTGGTTCCAGGACTCTGCATGAATATCAAAATCTGTGGATATGCAAATCCTATTATATACAACGGCACAGTAAAATGATGTCCCTTATAAAAAAATGACAAAAATTTAAGCTTGCTATTTGGAATATGGTTGAAGCTACAGATCCAGAACTAGTGTGCTACTTTATTGCTACAGTTCACAGAATTTGCCCACCAGCACGACTAGTGCAGCTCCTGGCTGATGTGGTACATGAAACAGTGTATGTCCTAGAATCCCACAGGCAGCAAGATTTGTGACAAATAAGAGTATCTGTAGTGCACAAAATATTATGCCACAGTGTGCAGTAGTATCACACAGGCTCAATGAAGCAGCACAGAAACCAGGGCAGCCAAGCAATCTTTTTATTCTATAAGATGTGTTACCATCCTGTGGGGGGCTTCTCTCATATTCCCGCATGAGAAGATGGAGCTGACAGATGGGAGCTCACCTCACCACGCAGATTCGAACTGCCAACCTTCAGGTCAGCAGTTCGGCCAGCACAAGGGTTTAACCCATTGCACCACCTTGGCTCTATATCAGATGTGATGTGATATGTACAGAAGATGCTCCTTCATATAATTGTTTTGTATCATCAAGTCCAACCGAAGATATCAGAACAGAGGCAGTAAGGAAATCAGATGGATGATAGCAGATGGGACAGTGGCAGAGCTGAACTCGTCCTTTTTGTGCTTGTTTAACAAAAGCCTAAATTCTTGAAAAATGGAATACAGGTCTCCAGCAGTGGTCTATGGCACTGAATCACAACTATGAGTCCTGAAATGTTGTTGGTCTTCATTTCCCAGCATATTTGAGAATTCTGAGAGTTCCAGTGTAACAAAATTTGGGGACCACTGACACAAAAATCCCATTAAGCAAGAACTGTGTTGAAACTGTAGACACTGCTCACCTGTGCGTACAGTAGAGAAGAAGAGAAGCCAAAAGAGGCAGAGGATAGGAGCTGCCACTACTTGGTTCACAGCACCTGAATGGATCTTCTTATCCAGCTTGGCTGGCAGATAAGCATAATAGAGGTTGTACCTGTCAACCAGGTGCTTTAGTAGCATATACATCAAGCCTGTGAGGAAAATGTGAAGAGAAAATAAGTAGAAATCTTGCTTGTAGACAAGCGACCAGATTTCAGTTTACAGAGTTAGGTAGTTTCCTTTTCTCTACTAGAGAATGGGTTGCACATAAAGAAAAGCCCACTTAACCCTGAATTTGCTGGCTGAGAGAAATTCGTTCTTTACTTTTCTTCTGGCAACAAACCAAAACATGTGCATAGTAATTCTCATCCAAACTACTATGAGCTCATAGCTTACTATTTACCCCTATTGCAAGAAGCTATTGTAATGAATCAATGCAACAAGAGTCATTGTGGATTTGCCTATGTCTGCTTATGTATCTGATATCTATCAAAGGCTAAGAAAGATTAAGCAGATACTGCAGTCATACCTACCGAAGGGAACTATGATGGGACAGGTGATACTGTAGGTCATTACCACAGTGAAGACGCACATCATCCAGGCATAGGCAGCCCCAAACTGGAATTCGTAGGCTTGATGCTGAAAAGCAGAGAAAGAAAAGGTCCTCTCGGTGGACATACAAAGGCCTGAGGCAGTGGTTCTCAACCTGTGGGTCCCCAGGTGTTTTGGCCTGCAACTCCAGAAATCCCAGCCAGTTTAGCAGCTGTTAGGATTTCTGGGAGTTGAAGGCCAAAACATCTGGGGACCCACAGGTTGAGAACCACTGGCGTAAGGGATGAGCCCTCCATAGGTCAAATGAGGAGTGGGTGGGAAAGAGGCAAAATCAATGAAACAAATCAAGCACTCACAGCAATTGGAGGCAAGGAGTATTAGGTTTCTGAGAACTTCTGTTTATCTCTCTCTGGAGACTTCCACATCAAAAATGAAGGGACCTAGACTTCTCAGTTGCAATGTGTTCTATGCAATGACATAAGGTCACCTGGGAACCTCTTTTCAGGGGGTAGGGGATACATTTAGCTGTCCATAAGAAAAATGAAATTTAGATACGTTTTATACTGCAATATTTAATTTCTCTGGATTATTGTAGGTTTTTCGGACTGTATGACCATGTTCTAGAACATGGCCATACAGCCTGAAAAACCTAAACAACCCAGTGATTCCGGCCATGAAAGCCTTTGACAATACATTTAATTCCTCCTTCCTACCTTTCCCTCTGATGCAAATACCTTCCCCTATGATAAACCATTTCAATTAGAGCAGTGGTCCCCAACCTTTTTTTGACCAGGGACCACTTGACCAGGGACTACTGTCCAACTTTAGTACCAAAAGGGTTACAAATCAGTTTTTGGTCAACTTTAGATTCGGTTTGGTTATTTGGGGTGGTGATTCAGAAAACTGCATTGGATAGACCATATCAGCTCTAGATTTTGATACAGAACATATGCCATCCAGTAGTTGCCATCTTTCTCGCCCCCAGAAAACCATATTTAATAAGCCCCGGCACTATAAGAGGGTTTCACAAGACCAGTTGCTCTTGTTGCAATGGTGTAGTAACAGTGAGGCCGTGGAGCATATTTAGTTCTTGCAGACCACTGGTAGTCCATGGACCACAGGCTGGGAACCACTGCATTAAAATGTGCTTACAATGACAGTTGGTGGCTCCCATCTCAGTGGGCTGGTGAATGTATGCTGGGTTTAATCCAAGGCATTGTACTCTATGCTCTAAAAAGGTTTATCATTTTAGACAATTCCCTTTAAAGTTCAGCTAAAAATAAAAATGGAGTCACTGGTATGGGAAAGTTATGGGCCATGAATGGTGTTGATCTTTCTGTACTCTGTTATGCTATGCTAGTAGGTGCAGCTTCTGTGTGTCTGTCAGGTTGTTTCTGAGGCAGTCAAGCACCCCCTTGTTTAAGTCTAGTACTGTCCTTATTTATATAACTGGCACAACCCTTTTCTATCTTGACCCACATACCCGCTTGACATTCCTGCGTTCAGCAGCTGAGCGAGCGAGGCAGAGCCGGATCATGTACATCAGGAGCCCAGGGATGCGCAGCAAATCCATGGCATTCCCAATGAATGCAGAGGCAATGACATAGTTCACAAAAAAGGCCCCATTATCAGGCAGGAATACACACCTGGAGGGGCAAAAAAGGAGAGAGTACAGAAGAAAGTAGGAAAGTAGCACACCAATCTGAATGCATGTCTGTAATAAGAGAGGAGAGAGAGTGGAAGGGGAATCTATTACGTGAAGAGAGGATCACCATTAGTTTGGAGATCTCAACGCCAGTCACCAATTGTAATAGATTATTATTTAAAATGACTTAAATGTTTGGAGGCTGCAGAGACTTTGCCACCAACACACTGTATTCTGAAGTAATTTACTGTGAAAACTGGCTACGACCACATTTAAAAAGAGTGTTCAGCTTTTGGTTTGGCAAGAGGTTTTAAGTAGGCTGGAATGTGCTGGATTCACATTCAGGGCTCTGAACCCTGAGGTAAATAACAATGAGATCCCCCTAAATAATTGCTGCCACCAATCTGAAACTCTGTTTCCCCATCTTGTTAAGAATATTTCTTTATATAGGGGCTCACTGAGACAGTTGTTGATGAACAAAGAATAAAGTTGTTTATTTGTGTGAACTTCAACAATACAGGCACTTAAGCGTAATGGATGCAATAATGAGAGATGAAGCTTATGGTTGCTTTAATAACAGTTCAAGGCTTAGTTCCAATAACAATTCTTCACTCCCTCAGGAAACTAGCAGACTTCCCTCTGACTAGAATTCCTAGAAGTCCTTTCCGTTGGATCTGTCAATTCTCTATACCAGCTATTCTACCTGACAGCTATCAATCTTCTCTAACTAACCACTTTGGCTTATTAACTTCTCTTCTCCTAACACTCCCAAAACCTAACTTTCTTCTCCAACACACAGACCCTGACTAAACTGTCAGATTTTAAAATGCACCCTTTCAGGCATTTTTTTTCTGCACTCTAGCTAAGCTCTGCCCACTTTCTCCCAGCCAATCACAAAGGTTCTCCACATTTCCCTCCAGGCTGCTCTTAAGTTCCACCCCCTCTAGGAAATGAGTACTCTAAGATGGCTGCCTCCCTGCACCATCTCACAAAACGGCTGCCAAAACACTTAGGCCTACTTCCAGAGCTTTTCCCTGGCCTAAAAGTTAGGCAATTCATCACAACATCCATGGCACAAAGATGAAAAGGGAAGATTGCCAAGTAACTTCTGTCTTAGGTATATTGGTGCATTCATTCATGGTTCCGTCTATAATTCCTTGCCTATTTTAAAAATCTTAATTCATTGATTTTTTCAGGCTATTCCCATGCAATATATTAGATCTATTAGTGATTTTACACATCTATAGGTTTATTCTCACAGGTAGATGCACCTCTATTTTATATACATACTGTCTAGGTTTACCCTTTTCTGGAAGCAATTGACCCCTTTTGTCTTATCTTCAGCATACAAAATTCAGAGCACAATATATATATATAGATGGGTCTGAATAGATGCAGGAAAGGAGAAGGGAACATTGTATATAATTGCTTGGCTGACCTGATGCCACCAGAAGCTATTTTCTAAGGGAGCCGGGACATGGAAGAAGCACAGATAGCAAGAAAAACAAATTAATCTCCTTTTTAAAAGGCATTACTTACTCAAATCTCACAGCAGCCTCAGCCAGGAACTTTTTGTCAAACAGCCAGCGGAAGAATACATCCAGACTAAGAATAGAAATGTACAAAGAGAGGAACATAACTTCTAAAGTCAGTTGCAGCATGTAGGCCTTGTTGCAAGATATTGCATAAGATCCTACATTTTGCAAATGGTCAAAGGCCATCTCATTTAGAGAGTGACCAACAGAGCGGTCCAGACATGTACACCTATCCAAATACCATTTATTACCAAGCTTCTTCTTCTCTTCCTCTGAAATATGTCCTTGACAGGTTGGGGTTATATTTATTTAGAGTCAATAGCTATAATTCGCTGCCTTAAAACAGATTGGTAACACAACAGGTTTGTTTGTTCAGACTAGCAGAAACAATGACGTTATAACAAATGTGCATATCTTGAATTGTATTTTTCTCTGATCTTTCTCTGAACCCCATTGTCTTGTGGGGTTCCTCAGGGCTCAATATTGTCTCCCATGTTGTTTAACATCTACATGAAGCCGCTGGGGGAGATCATCCGGAGTTTCGGGGTACGGTGTCATCTGTACGCGGATGATGTCCAACTCTGTCACTCCTTTCCACCTGCTACTAAGGAGGCTGTCCAGGTCCTGAACCGGTGCCTGGCCGCTGTGACGGTCTGGATGAGGGCGAACAAATTGAAATTGAATCCAGACAAGACAGAGGTACTCCTGGTCAGTCGCAAGGCCGAACAGGGCATAGGGTTACAGCCTGTGTTGGATGGGGCCGCACTCCCCCTGAAGATGCAGGTTCGCAGCTTGGGTGTGACCCTGGACTCATCGCTGAGCCTGGAACCCCAGGTTTCGGCGGTGACCAGGGGAGCATTTGCACAGCTAAAGCTTGTGCGCCAGCTGTGCCCGTACCTTGGGAAGTCTGACTTGGCCACGGTAGTCCACGCTCTGGTTACATCCCGTTTAGACTACTGCAACGCTCTCTACGTGGGGTTGCCTTTGAAGACAGCTCGGAAGCTCCAACTAGTGCAACGCTCGGCAGCCATGATTTTAACAGGAGCGGAGCGCAGGGAGCATACAACCCCCCTGTTGCGCCAACTCCACTGGCTACCGATCTGCTACCGGGCTCAATTCAAAGTGCTGGCGTTGGCCTTTAAAGCCCTAAACGGTTCCGGCCCAAGACTACCTATCTGACCGCATCTCTGCCTATGAACCCACCAGGACTTTGAGATCTTCCGGGGAGACCCTGCTCTCGATCCCGCCTGCTTCTCAAGCTCGGCTGGCGGGGACGAGAGATAGGGCCTTCTCGGTGGTGGCTCCTCGGCTGTGGAACGCCCTTCCTACGGACATTAGACTAGCACCATCTTTAATGGTATTCCGCAAAAAGGTGAAGACCTGGATGTTTGTGCAGGCGTTTGAGTAATTTAGTGCAATCTGGTAATGGAACATAGGAATGGAACAATGGACGACGAATCTGGACTACGCTTGGATGATGAGAAGATTGGGTACGGTTGTTTTGTGTAATAATTGTGCATTGTAATTGCTTATTGGTAATTTATGGATAATGTGTTAAGTCAATTGTTATATGTTGTATGGAACCACTGCTGTTTCTACTGTTTTTACTGTTTGTGAACCGCTGTGAGTCGCCTTCGGGCTTGAGATACAGCGGTATATAAGCAAAGTAAATAAATAAATAAATAAATAAATCTTTGTGATATTGATAATTTGGATTGTCTGTTTTCATGGTAAATATTCAAGTAGGTTTTTTTGTTTGAAAACTATTATTTGTCCTACAAGAAATTCTGTATCATGGTTTGGCAATGAGATCATCATTTCTTTTTTTCCAGAAGCAAACCAGAATTCCCCCCATTATATTATATTAACTATATGTTTTGAATGGGCCTTTGATTCTATCTGTGACTTTATCAACTGAGGAAATATATCTGGATAGAACAGGCATGGGCAAAACTTCGTCCCTCCAAGTGTTTTATTTATTTATTCATTTATTTGCAATATTTATATTCCGCCCTTCTTACCCTGAATGAGCTTCAGGGTGGATCACAGAACATATATACGGCAAACATTCAATGCCATTATAGACAAGACAGACAACTGTACATACACAGAGCTATATAGACTTTCCCATCTTCAGCATCTTGGAGGCTTTGTGCTCAGTTCTGGCTATGGTGTGTGTGTGTGTGTGGTGCTGTCGCTCCATCTTCTCTGCCAAAGAGAAACCTCCTTGATTGAATTGTTGGCATTTTTTTGGCATTTTCTTATGGATGCCTTAAATATCTCCCCGCTTTAAAGTGGTACCTATTTATCTACTCACATTTTGCTTTCAAACTGCTAGGTAGGCAGAAGCTGAGCTAAAGCCCAGGAGCTCACACCAACCCAGGCTTCGAACTGTCAACCTTTTGATTGGCAAGATTTAATGCAGCTGGTGGTTAACCTGCTGTGCTCAAGTCTGGCTGTTAGGAATTGTGGGAGTTGAAGTCCAAAACACCTGGGGGGACAAAGTTTGCCTATACCTGGGATAGAAGCAAGGTCTTCAACACTAAATGCTCAGTAGGTAGCTGAACTTTTATGAGGCACCTACTGATCTACAAACTTTCCACTACTATTCGGCAGTCTGCGCTGTTTATTTTTACATTAATAACAATAAATCTTATTTATACCCCAACACCATCTCCCCGAAGGGACTCGGGGTGGCTTACAAAAGCAACTCCAGTGTGCCGCACATAAAATAAGCCACACACAGGTATAAACAATAACAACATAAAATTACAACTGCAACACATCAAACACACATAACATCAGATAAGACATTTTAAAATTACTTGCCATAAATGTCATGAAATAAGAAATTCCCTGTCACATGCCATGAGCCAAGACCATAGAGAACATGATACATAGTTAAGAAATAACACAAAATACCAGAAAAGGCAAAAGGATGGCTCTTAATTCTTGTGCAGTCTCTTAAAATATTCTGGTAGTAAGGCAATGGCATAGTCAATTTTTTATTATTCACTGCCCAAATGTAATAAACAATGTGGTGGGAAACAGGCATAGAGAGAAAAAAAAATTAAGCCTGCTTTACCTGCTCAGGCCCAGTGATGGTAGCAGCAAGACCATAAAGATGAGAAAAGTATAGCATTTGTGCATGGTGGTTCTGTTCTCTCCAGACCTGGTGAGATTGAGAATATAAATAAATAAGCAATGAAAACTGAATACAGATTTAGGCATATTCAATAACTTTCTTAGGAGAAAGATAATCTACCACTCAAAGGATATTTACTTTGTTAGGAGTATTTAGCTACCACTACTTAGTTACTACTCAGCAAGTTGCATAAAATCTTCTTTGCTCCCTCCTGCTAAGGAGGTACATTCATACTTTAAAGAAAGTGATTGCTGTATTTCCTTACTTCTAAGATGCACTTTCCCTCCACATATAACATAAACCTCTCCAAAAACTGGGTGAATCCTAGAATTGAGGGTGCCTCCCCCCCCCCTCTATATATGTATGTCATGGTAATGAAAAGATGCACATTACTATCTATCTTACAATCAGTGATGTCTTAGAATTGAAGAAATATGGTATTACCACAACAAATTCCACACTGAAAACATTAAAATAAAATCTAATTCTAAAATACAGTGAAATGAGTTCTCAATGGCTGATCAAAGACTTTGGAAATTTGTTCATAAATAGTCATGTATTAATCTAACTAAATATTCCTTTGTATATTGTAGGCTATTTCTGATATTTGCTTCATAAATCTACGTTCTAAATTTTTTCCTAAATCACATTTTGATAATATAATATATGGAGAGCTTCATTCCAATATTAAAATGCAGGTCAGAATAGATTTTTAAGGCTCACTTTCAGATTTGGGTCACACTATGTGAGGAATGTGTCAGGGATGTATATTTGCTCTGTCATTGATAAATATTTAGATTAATTCCTGAACAACTAATTTAAGCAACAATGATTATCTAACATCCTAAATTAGCAAGCAAAGTATGATATTGTAATCACATATATCAATACTATTTTGTTGTTACACACCATGGGTTGGGAAACTATGGAAACCTATCAACTAATTAGCAGTGCAAGAAAAACTGAACAGGAATTATGACAAAAAATTATATTATTCATCTAAGGCAGTGGTTTATTTATTTATTTGAAACATCTATATTCCGACCTTCTGACCCTGAAGGGGACTCAGGGTGAAACACAGCATATACATGGCAAGTATTCCATAAAATAACTATAAATATAAGACTTCACCTGTTCAATTAATTTACCATCTATATATCTTGGATCTCTTAGATCAGTGGTTCTCAACCTGTGGGTCCCTGGGTGTTTTGGCCTACAACTCCCTGAAATCCTAGCCAGTTTACCAGCTGTTAGGATTTCTGGGAGTTGAAGGCCAAAACATCTGGGGACCCACAGGTTGAGAGGATCACTGATGCAAGAGAGCCGAGATATATAGATGGCAAATTAATTGAGCAGGTGAAGTCTTTAAATTATTTACATTTATGGTTCTCTTCAACTCAGAGCTACCAAAATAATTCATTAATACAGTGAATACTTTATCAAGACTTAAAAGGGGGTAAAAGAAGTAAATATCACGATTTAATCCATTGGAGATGCCAGGTTTGACAGCAAAACATGTGAAAAAGATACTGTCTTTGTGGACAACAAGCTAAACATGAGCCAACATTGAAATGTGGTGGCTAAAAAAACCAATGGGATTTTGGCCTGCATAAATAGGAGTCTAGTGTCTAGATCCAGGGAAATCATGCTACCCCTCTATTCTGCCTTGGTCAGACCACACCTGGAATATTGTGTACAATTCTAGGCACTGCAATCTAAGGGAGATGTTGACAATCTAAGGGAGATGTGTCCGCCGCTGTGTCAAGGGTCTGGAGAACAAGCCCTATGAGGAGCGACTTAAAGAGCTGGGCATGTTTACTCTTCGGAAGAGAAGGCTGAGAGGAGACATGAGATCACTGCACACCGCACACTGCACTTACTTTATAATCCTACATTCCTACCGCCACATCAGCACTTTTAATCCTGTACCCCTACTCTGGCCGGCCCAGTTTTAATAGTGTCTTGTTGTATTGTTATTGTTATTGTTTTTCTGCCTAACTGTTTTAATTTGCTTTAGGTATTGTATTGTTGTATTGTGTTTTGGGGCTTCGGCCTGTGTAAGCCGCATCGAATCCCTCGGGAGATGCTAGCGGGGTACAAATAAAGTTATAATAATAATAATAATAATAATAATAATGAGGGCCATGTATAAATATGTGAGAGGAAGTCATAGGGAGGAGGGAGCAGGCTTGTTTTCTGTCGTCCTGGAGCCTAGGGCGTGAAACAATGGCTTCAAACTACAGGAAAGGAGATTCCATTTGAAAATTCGGAAGAACTTCCTGACTTTGAGAGCCGTTCAGCAGTGGAATTCTCTGCTCCAGAGTGTGATGGAGGCTCCTTCTTTGGAAGCTTTTAAACAGAGCCTGGATGACCACCTGCCGGGTGCATTGAATCTGATTTTTCTGCTTCTTGGCAGGGGGTTGGACTGGATGGCCCATGAAGTCTCTTCCAACTCAATGATTCTATGATTCTATGAGTCGAAAGTTATGAAGCACAAATATGTGATAGAATCTAAATATGAAGGTGTATTCAGAAAGTCTGATTGTTGCATTTTAGAACATGTAACTTTAGAAAAATAACAATACTTCTTAAAATGAAAGGCAATAGGAAATGAGGGAGATGGAATCCATACAGATCAATCCATACAGATGGATTGATCTTCGAGGTCCGTACTGTTGCCATAATTCAAAGTAGACTTGACAGCAAATAACAACAAAAATCCGAAAAGTTAATCTAGAATCACCCCAGAATAAATAAATATCTTTGAGCAGCTGGGTTTTCCAAGGTGACTGTGTCTTCTGTTCTCCATATTTTGCATAGTGGAGGTTGGAGAACATATTTTTGCTCTTAGATATTAGGTGAAATGTCTGCTGGCATTTCTGAAAAGGTAGCCTTTTTCATTTTAAAATGCCAATATTTAAAAGGTTTATGGTGATGTCAATGTTTAAAATTAGTTGTCAGAATTTTTTCTTTTAGCAATTATTTTCATTGAGAAACACAAACTTATATGTACAGTGGGCCCTTGGTATCCAATGGGGTTTGGTTCGAATACCTTAGGTTGATGCTAAAATCTATGGATTCTTGACTCCTGTTATATACAATGCCATAGTAAAATACGGGCTTACATATTAAGGCAAAATCAAGGTTTGCTTTTTCGGTTTTTTAAAAAATGTTTTCAAAATGGATGAACTTGTGGATGTGAAGGGCCAACTGTATTCTCTTTTGTAATGGCCATGGCTATACAAATAAACTATGTTACTCACTTACTATTTTCTGACATGAATAAAGGTGATTTTTCTCTTCAGTTAAGTTTCCCTCTGAATACAAATCATAATTATATCTGTTTTTTATTTCACAAAAATCTATTATTTTCTCCAGGCAAACCTCTCTATCTGGCATCATGGGAGCACTCTCTTAAGGATATGCCACCACAGGAGGGTGACACTGAAGACTCACTATGTGGCATAATGTTTCTGGAAACATAATAAAGGAATATTGCATTATTAGTCATATGCTCAGACTAGCAGACTATATTATAAAAAAATCTTCTAGTTTCTGGTTGACAGCACAAATTAAAATACATAGAAATAACATACAAAATAGTGTTTAGAAATGTTTCTTGAGTTATATATTGTTTTTCCAAATATAATTTACATTTCTGTCCAATGCAACAACTATCAGGTGTCTGCAATAAGATGTAAGATGAATATTTTATGATTTTTTTATTTATTTACTTCATATATACTGATTTTCTCACCCTGGCATGGGGGTGGGAGGCTCAAAGCAGTTTCCAACATATTCATGGGAAAATTCAATGCCTAACATACATACAAATGTATGTATGAACTTAAAAAGCAAAATCATAGAAGAATAATTTAAGAAAACAAAGAAATAAAAAAAATGTTTTTGCAAGTTATTCTTCTTCTCAATAGCATTTTACAAGATTTGAGGATTGGTGATGGCTTACTTTCTGATTAAAAAAAACCCCTATATCTACAAAATATATTTGAAAGATCAAAGCTATAATGATCATGGAGAGGATTCTAAACTGCAATTCAGGTTCATTCTGCCCTCAATCAGACTGGGATAACTTTTCATCTTACCTTGTCCAGTGAGCCTCAAAAAATGCTGAATAATACACAATAGTTGGAAGCAAAGCAGAAAAACACCATAGCAGCAAGGTGGGAAAGAACTGCGTGATGATGGGATTCTGGTAAGAGAAACAAACAAACAAATTCTTTAAGTAGTTTGAGGATGAAAATATTTCATGCCAAATCATTAAGTACTCAGTGGAATGAGTCCTTAGTCCTCAGTACCTGGAGGGCCACCTTTCCTTGTTGAGGTCTGCAATCAGGTGAAAGTGACCTCATCTGTATGGCACCAGTAGGAGCAACATATATGGGGACATGGGAGAGAGACATCTTTACTGTGTCACACTAGTTGTGGAAAGCCCTGATTTGGTGGTCTGATTGGTGCCAGAATTGGTTTCATTCCAATAGCAAGTTATTGTATTTATTTATTTTGTATCAAAAGCATTGATTAATAAGCATAAAACTAATAAAAATAGAAGGAGCACAAGTGGATAAACCTTTTTTTGACCAAAAACAGGCAACAACAACTGTCTGTAGCTTTAAACAATTCTTTCTCTGTGGGCAAGCATACAGGTGTGGAGTTGTTTGTTCTGCTCCACAGTCACACAAGGTGGAGGATTCTTTTAGGTAATGGCATTTTGCCAGGTTGTCTTTTGATCTGACCACTCCACATCTGAGTCTGTTCAGTAGCAAGTTAAAAACATTACTTTCTAATCAAAGCATTTGGGGGGGGGGGGTCTAATGATTTTGTTCAAGTATATAGTTTTAAACTGTTTTAGCTTCAGCAGTTTAAAAAGGTTTAATATGTTTTTAGATTCCTCAGGTTAGTTGCTATGGTTTAAACTGGATTTTATTTTAAAGCCATCATGAGATTGTGTGACTGCGTGAAGAATAAATATTTAAGTACATCTAAGAGAAAACTGTTTGGTGGCATGATTTGTTGGGTATGGATGTATACATATCCTTTTAAATGTAATTAGTGTTCCTAAATTGTGTGAATCAGTTTCCTCTTAGATGAGTTCGAATTACTTTAAAGTAGTGGTTTAAAAACCTTTAACACTCATGAAAATTTATCTTTATTTGCAATCTGTCTTTTCCTTTTCCTTTCTCCATGGAAGTTGAGGGGAGACTCAGCTTAATCCCACTGAATGAAGGAGGCAAAGAACCTCTTTCCAGAGGCTATTCCTGTCCCATGGGATGAAAAGGAGAAAGGAAGCCGCTTATTACAAAAATATCAACTCAAGCTCTTACATTCAGGTACTCAACAGGCTTGGTGACATTGAACTTGTCCATAGTGGTGATGATGATGGCAGGAGTGGTGAGAAAGAAGAGTAGGATGAAGAGCACCACATTGATGATCAGGCAGCGAAACCACCAGATGAAGCCACGGATGGACAGATGTTCCCTGAAAGAGAAACAAAATTAAAGAACAAAATCAAGTGGGATGGAAGGCGACAGAGAGACACTACATGGAAAATTACAGGAAATTCAGGCCTATGTGTGGCTGACTTCCTTAACAAACCACACACATAATGTTATATTGTAGTACTCAGTAAACCAATGGCCTGGGCCAACTCAATGTTGCAAGAAAATATCTAGCTCTGGTACATCATATAACAGAGAAACTACAGTATGAGGTCTGGAATTAGGTATAAAATTTCAGAGCAATGATTCAAGCCAGTAGTTCAAATTTACCAGTAAATGTTCTGAGGATCAGGTGCATATGAGACGGTCCAATTGGAGACATGGAGGGACTCACTGCAGGATGAAGCCCGAGGTTCTCCACGGCATTTGCAACCCTGACACTTGCACACATTGAAGTCTTTCAGTATTCTGGAGGAAGAAGGAATGAAATAAATAGGGGGATATGAGTGTTTCTCTTAGAGTGAGCCAGAAACGTCCATGTTCCCACCCTTCCTGTACCTGAACTCCCTATACTTACATGGCTGTAATGGCTTCATTATGGAATGTGACAAAGGCCATACCCAATGGCTTCTCGTTCACCTTCTCTTTTTCCTTCTTATAGTCCTCTTTCAATTTTTCCTCCAATTTGGTGTAGTACTCTATTGCTTCCACCTAGGCAAGCACACACAAAATCACAATATGGATCCTGTCACCCCATGGCATAACACGGCAGCACTACAACCATTCAGGATCTAGGGCACCCCAGCAAATGGGAACGACCACTCATAATTTGACCCAGCTAACTGATGTTTCAGTTTTGCTATCTACAGAGTGTTACAAAGCTAGGACACTGAATGTGTTCTGTTTAAAGGGTTGTTTTATATATTGGATAAGTAATTCTCTTTCAGTTTAGTTTAATGAATGGGGTTATTAGGAGTTCAGAATGGGATAAATTGATTCTGAGGTGGGAATCATGCAAGGCTGCAGAGGTTACTGGACTGCAGACCCTATCAGCCTTAGCTAGTATAGCCAATTGTGAAAGGTGATGAGAGTACCTGTTGTAACTCGGCCAATCACTATACCTAATGTCAGTGAGGAAGTGGAAGTGGATGATGGGATTTCTGAGACTGTTGAGCTTGCGAATCAGCAAGCGAGTTTAAGTCCTGAAATTTAGTGTTCTGTGTCTCCTGTAGTTAGTGAAGGCCACATTCCAGAGAAGGCCCCACCCTTCTCTAGGGAAGAGAGTTCAGAAGATGGAATTACCAGGTGGAGAGGGTAATGAGCCAAAAGATAGGAGGCACAGCTTTCGAACTGATTCTCAGACTCATCAAAGGTCAATGCGCTTGTTAGGGGAAAAGCTGTAATCTGTTTGCAAGGGTAAACAAAATGATTTCATGGCTTTATTAGAGACATAAAAAAGATTTTTCAGCAGTCTGGTCAATGTTGGATTTTAAGTAACATCTTGGGTTGAGCTATATCCAAGATTTTCAAGGGAATTTTAGTTTTATGTCTTCAGCTGTTCAAGTTTAAAGGGCAGTGTTGGAGTTCAGCCTGTGTTTGCGTTTCAGGATCAAGGGGAATGATGATGTCTCTGAGGGTCAAGATGGAGATGGTTTGGTCAATGATATTAATGCAGAGAATGACACAGGGACACCGGTTCCAGGTGCAGTTTCCAATGAGAATGTTCCTACAGAGAATAGGGATATTAGTTTACTCCCTGACCCAGAGATTTCCCAAGATTTGGGGTTTGAAGACAACTTGACACCTGGAAAAACTAATTAGCAGATAGATAATAAGCACATAGACAGACGGCTGGGATTTAGCCAAGACAGACAGCTCAGCCAAGGTCTTTGCCATTCTGCTAGGCTTCAAGAAATAAGAGCGAGAGGCAGTCAAGAAAAACGAAACCAGTTTCGGGATGCTGGAAATAGCCTAACGGAAGGATAAAGTCCTCACCAGGGAAAATCTAGTCAGATGAAGCATCGTTTCAGAATCTTACTTGTTCTATGGAAGTCTTGCTTGGAAGATTCATGTTAAGGATTTCTCGTTCATGGTTTGACTCTTTGTCTCTTAGAATTATATACTCATGCTGTGGATTAATGTTTTCCTGCCTCTGTGGATTTTGTTATAAAAGTTTGGACTTTGCTTTTGGAACTTTGCTGAATCTTGCCTTGGAATACTTTGTTCCTGTTTACCTTCCTAATTCTTTGGACTTATCTATTTTCTTAAAGCATTTTCACCTTGTTATTTTTACTTATCTTCAATAAAAAAAGGATTGTTTTCCTACTCAACGTGTGGTATTTTAAAGTCAGAGGGTTATTCCTGTTCTGGAGTGCAACAGATTATTTCTTGAGTTCTGTGTTTTCTGCTGCCTTGTTGTATCCTGATTCTTTTGCATTCCTAGTTTTTGATTCAACTTTTGTATCTTAGATTTTATGGTCTATTGAATACTTTCGGACTTAGATATTTCTTACTATTTAGCTGCTCTGCATTGTATATATTCTTCAATAAACTGCTTTGCTGATTTATACTGGACTGGAGTGTGGTGGTTAAGTACAGAGGTGCTCCTGCCTTGGAGTACAACAATAGCAACACAACAACATTTGGTGGGCTGCACATTCCCCATCGTTGCCTTAGATGGTGAAGATAAATAAATAAAGAAGCATTATGATTGTGCAGGCATGTATATTAAACTGTGCAGAATGGGTGCAGGAACACAAAGCAATGCGATATTTATAACTTTCTGAGAATAAAAAGTGTCAGCAGAAATATGAGCATAGATTATCGGAGCTTCACTTACATGCATGAGTTGCAAACCTCCCAAAAGCAGTGCAGCCCCTCCTAAGAACAGGCCTCCCAACTTCCAGAATCTCCCTGACCCCATGCTACAACCTGCTCATTCCCCAATCCCAATCCTGCCTCTGTACCTCTTCACAACCTTTGATTGCACAACAGCAGAGATGACCACAGGGCTTGGGGTTGATCATAGATGAGATGTTCTCCTTGGTCTGCAAATTAGTAAAATAGAGTTTCCCACGCTCTGCCTTTTTTCTGAAAAGAGAATACCATAGGAAAAGAGGAAGGACAGAAAATATATTGTGGTTGGTGTGGCAGAAAGAAGTGAGCATACCATAGGGCTTCTGACTGTACGTGCATGCATTTTTTTAAAGCAAAAATTCTTCTAAACTTCTTCTCCTGAAGAAGTTTACATTTCCATTAAAATTTAAAGTCCAAAACAAAAACTATTCTACAAAATACTTTAAAATGTCATAATGACGTAAAGCTAATGGTTGTGATTTCTAATGTGAACCTCTAGCAAGTTTGAAAAAAACTAGGCTCTAACATTATTTGTGTATTCATTGTTGGTCACTTTTGGTTTTCACCCACCATTTTAAGGGCTTTTGAGCTAAATCAATCTCTCACAGAGCTTGGTCAATATATCTCATTTCTGCTTAACATTCTCTGCTGTTTCAGTCTTGGGGGCAAAAGCGACAGCATTGGCCCATTCTGACCCACTATTAAGTGGAGGCTATTACAATTCTAGACCAGAACCCGTTTTGTACCGTTTTTATCATGTTGTTGTGCTTTCATCATCTAGATCAGTGGTTCTCAACCTGTGGGTCCTCAGGTGTTTTGGTCTACAACTCTTAGAAATCCCAGCCAGTTTACCAGCTGTTAGGATTTCTGGGAGTTGAAGGCCAAAACATCTGCAGACCCACAGGTTGAGAACCACTGATCTAGATCCATACCCGCTTCAACGTGCTCAAAGCTGCAAGAACTGGTTGTGGTTTGAGACTGTACACTGCCTTGCAACATACGGACCAACAAACTTCACTTTTCCACATCACCTCATTTGCATCATGTAAGAGCCCTAATCCTGTACCTCTCAGCATCAAGGAACATCAGCCTGGCCACATCATAGCAAGGACGTGCTTCCAGTACAGTACAATTAGAATAGGCTTCCCTGGAAAAATAAAAGAGATGTGAAGGGCTAATTAGAAATGTTGAGATGACCAAAACCTTCACGATACTAGTTGGGATCCTAAGCAAGGGCAAGGTCCTGCAAAGGAAGATACCTTCTACTTTTGCCCTCACTACAGGTTGTAGAGAAAAGGAGAAGAATAACTATGGTGATGTACATTCATCTAAGGTAGGGTTTAGGAGACTGTACTGCCTTTCCTCCGAACATCTTGCAAGACCACTGCTACATTCCCTAAAATGAAATTCTAACTTTTTTGCCCCAAATAACCCAGGCATTTATTGGAAATTTCAGAACAACTTCTCTCTCTCTCTCTCTTGTTCTATTTGAACCATTTTAATACCACAAGAACCATTACTTTTGATAGGAATTGATCTGAAAGTTGGCTTTTGGGCTACATCCTGTGCTACATGGATGATATGTCTAATTTGCCTCCTATATTCCCTAATTTGGAATCATTTTGTTATTTTTTTGGTAAATAAATAAGTTGGGCGGTTGAGTACATACAGCATTTAGGCTACATTTAGCCCATCCCTAAATTGTTACTAGCTTACGACTACCACATTGCTTATCCATTTGCCATAATGATAGTGATAACACTGACTGTGACTGGGCTGGAGGGTCACAGACTACTCACATTTACTCTAACTGGATTGAGCCACAGGGATATATATGAGGAAAATGACTAATAATTTTCTCACTGATGGAAGAAGGCGGGGTTTCTTATGAAAGAAATCTAGGCAGCAAGACTCACTCAAAATGCTTCTTGATCTTCTCCGGTTCAGCATACTTTGAGATGCCATTGATGAAAAGGGTTCGCTTCACCTGGAACAGAGAAGTAGCAAGGAATAAACCAATGTTTCCTTAGAACTTGCATCCAGCTAGTTCACAGGGTGGAGGTTAGACTAAGCAGACTTGAGTCAAGACATCTTGTTACTGGAGGATGAATAACACCAGCCTCAGAGTAAGACAGCAGGTAAGCATATATTTTCTGAATCTAAATGCTTTTTTTTTTTAATGAAGGGTCACTCCTGAGAGTAAGATACCTTGGGGAAAGTGAGCATGGAGACTGTCTGTCTCTGGAGAGTGCATCTGCCTGTTCAATCTGTCACTTGGAGGGCCCTCTCAGGGTGAGATATGGGGGTCAGCATGATTTGTTCTCCCTCCTGCTCTGTTGCCTGAAGTAATAGATTCACCCAATTTCACAGAATGCCCAGTATAGGGCGCATTTATATATGATTGAAATATTCTCTCACTATTTACCTAGTCCTCCTACTTATTATTCACACTTCTCTCTTTCTTGTCTTGCTTATAAAAATATAAACTGCTGAGGGTAAGACTCCCTGATGATGCAGTGTGTTAAACCACTGAGCTGCTGGACTTGCTGACTGAAAGGTTGGCAGTTCGAATCCGGGGAGTGTGGCGAGCACACGCTGTTAGTCCCAGCTTCTACCAACCTTGCAGTTTGAAAACTGTAAGATTATGAGTAGATCAATAGGTACCGCTTCTGTGGGAAGGTTACGGAGCTCCATGCAGTCATGCTGGTTACTTGACCTCGGAGGCATCTATGGACAATGCCAGCTCTTTGGCTTAGAAATGGAGATGAGCACCATCCTCCAGATTTGGATGTGACTAGACTTAATGTCAGAGGAAACCTTTACCTTTACCTAAACTACTGAGGGTAGAGAATTATCCACAAGAAGATGTTGAGGGTATCTTTTCTGGAACTGTGTCAGACCTTGAGATTTCAAAGACTTTCCCTCACATCTTCATACCTGGACCTCATCATGTCTCCTCTCAGTCTTCTCTTTTGCAGGCTAAACATTCCTAGCTCTTTAAGCCCTTCCTCATGCGGCTTGTTCTCCAGATCCTTGATCATTTTAGTCACCCTCCTCTGGACACATTCCAGCTTGTCATCATCTCCCTTCAATTGCGGTGCCCAGAATGGGACACAGTGTGATTCCAGGTGTGGTCTGACCAAGCCAGAAAAGAGGGATAGTATGTCTTTCCTGGATCTAGACACTAGACTCCTATTTATGAAGGCCAAAATCCCATTGGCTTTTTTAGCCGCCAAAATGGTTGGCTCTGAATAGTAAACCAATGCTCTAGCTGGGACCAAAAACAGATTTAGCGAGTAATGTAAGCTAGGAGATGGTTAAACTTACCAAGTCATCCTCCTTGTAGCGCATCTTAGAGGTATGGCGGCGCATGCTGTACACCGTCAGCAACAGGTACAAGAAGGCAAAAGATGTGTGTAGCCATAAGAGATTATTCCTGTCAGAAGGTAAAGGAAAATAGCTGGTACTGATTTCTGCCTGAATATTATTCACCTTGGCCCCATTTAGTCAAGTATCAATTCAAATGCTTGCTGAATAATCTTTATTTCAAAAAAAATTATATTTCCTGTTTCTCTGTTTTGTAAAAAATAATGCAATCTCTTGACCACACTTAATAACATACTTACCCCGAATTCAAGTTGGCAATAGTTGTTCTACCAAAACTGTAGGGATTGTTCTCTGGTAAAGTAAAGCAAAGAGAGAAAGAGGAGGAACACAAATTAGACACAATCCATTGAAAAAGAAGGCAGCTGACATTTATTTAGAAAACCTTTGCCTTGATTTTATCATCCAGACCCAAGAGTGTCTGTAATAAACAGTGCATCACAAGGGAGAATGACAGATACTAACTTTTACAGATTGCAACTTATTTTGCAATTCTCAAATGCTTCTGCCACTACCCACTTTTTCCTGATTCAGTGACACAGGTACTAGGGATGTTTTGCATTATCCAACAGCTACTCCATACAAGACACCTGCTGGTTAAAGTGGCATTTGACTAACCAACTGAAAGGAAAGGAGGACTTCTGATTACTGAGCAGAGAGAGACTGACATCCCCGTATTCCTGCAACTTGAGTTCTGTTAACATCTATGTTTTTGGAAAAGTGCTGTTTTGGAACAAATGAAAGAATAAGAGTCCTGCTAGATCAAACCAAAATCCTATACAGTCTAGCAATCTTCCCCCAATCTGCCAAATCTTCATTTAAGTTTATCAAAGTTAATGGCTATCATTACATAACAGCAATTTTCAACTGTGTACTGTGTAAAGAAATACTATAGTTGTTCTGAATATCCTAGCATTGAGTATTAGCAGATAACCCCAAGTTCAAGTATTCTCTTTTTGCACACTGAATGTAACATGCACGTTTGGTAGGTCTCCTCTTTGGCTGGATCTACACTGCCCTATATCCCAGGATCTGATCCCCGATTATCTGTTTGTCCCAGATTATCTGGCAGTGGAGACTCAGTTCAAAGCAAATAACCTGGGATCAAATCCTCGGATACAGGACCCTGTAGATCTAGCCTTAGCCCCCTTCTACATTGTCATATAATCCAGATTATCAAAACAAATAATGCACCTTATCTGAGTCTACACTGCCATATAATCCAGTTCAAAACAGATAATCTGGATTTATACAGCAGTGTAGAAAGGGCCTTAGGCCCCTTCCATACTGCCCCTGTATCCCAGGATCTGATCCCAGATTATCTTCTTATTCCAGACTATCTGGCAGCTCAGATTTATGTAATTCAGTTTAAATCAGATACTCTGGAATCATATCCTGGGATATAGGGCAGTGCAGAAAGGGCCTTAGTTGTCTTTCCTTCAAGTTAAGCAGCACTCAAAGTTATCAGCCAATTGTTTCCCAGCATTGCAATATTATTTCTTAGGTAAAGGGGAAAGATAAAGAAGAACTCTGAGTAGACAGAGGGTGCAGATAAACTTTGAAAGCATATTAAGTAGCTTTCATGATGAAAGGGTTCTCCTTTAACCTGGCAGTCCTTCTTTCCAGATGGATCTTTCCAGATCTGTGTGTTTACAATATCCTCTCACACTCAACCAATGCCAGATTTAGGACAAATGAGGCCCTGCGTGAGTAAAGTTATCATTACATCTGAAATAGCTCTGAAACAGAACGCCTTCAAATTTAGAATTGCACCGCATGACCAAAATCCATCATAAAAAAAAAAATTGGCAGGAAGATGGCTCCTCCTGGATTCTGTGTTTAAGCACACCTAAGCACAATGGTAAATCCAACACTACCCTCAACCACTGGCTATCCTGACTTGTAATAGGAGTTGTAGTCTAAGATGTCTGGTGAATGTCGCACTGGAGAATTTTAATGGGAGTGTTGGCAAGAGAAGGAAATACTATTGTAAAATGAAATTTCCTGCCATTTTTTAATAAATTATCATTTATCTGAGGTTTTTTAATGTAAGAAGATTTGGTGGGTGGGATGGGTGGGTAGAGCAGATTCAGTAAGAGAAAACAGTGGCTCTCTGGATCCAAATTACCCCACCATCCGGGGACTAATTTGACCTACAATTGGACAGAAATTCTAATAAATTTCAATTCCATTAATTTCCCTCTCAAGATTTAATAACTGCTGTGCAACGACAAGGAAAATTTATTTATTTATTTATTTATTTATGACATTTATATGCCGCTCTTTTCACCCTGCAGGGGACTCAGAACAGCTTACAAGATATATATATATATACACACACACACACACACACAAAATATATTATATTATTAGCATAGTTCAATATCAGTATTATATATATATTACTATGTTGTACTATACCACTATATTGTAATATTATTAGTAATATTACATGTAATATAAAATATATAATTATAATATTGTATTATTATTAATATTATATTGTATTATGTTATAATTTTATAAATATTATATTATATTATATTATATTATATTATATTATATTATATTAGCATAACACAGGAGACAAGATGGAAGTCTTCCTGGCCCCCTCTCTCTTCACTCTGGCCCAGAGCAGCAGTTGATGCTGAGGCAGAAAATGAGGCAAGAATGTGCGCTCATATATTGAATAGTTTTCAGTCTCTTTGGGGTCCTCTGCCTGAAGTAGAATGAGACCATTAACTGAGTAGACTTGTCCATTTCTTCTCCAGTGCAGCCAATAAGAAAATTGACCAACATACGTCAGACCACCTGATCATCCCTGATTCCAGAAACTTGATTAGTATTTGGATGAGAAACTCTTAAGAAGTGTCAGTGTAATCCAAATAGGTTTGTGGAAGAAATATTGGAGAGTTGCTGTCAATTAAAGTTGATAATATTGGACCAATATTCTGACTCAGTACAGTAAGACCTTTGTGATTACCTAACTTCTGATCTTAGCATACCACCTAGGTCAGTTGTTCTCAACCTGTGGGTCCCCAGGTGTTTTGGCCTACACTTCCCAGAAATCCCAGCCAGTTTACTAGCTGTTAGGATTTCTGGGAGTTGAGGGCCAAAACATCTGGGGACCCACAGGTTGAGAACCACTGACCTAGGTCCTCTAATGCAACTCTATGGTAACTTTGAGGAGTTCTGTGTTTATGGTGGTCTTAATGTATAATGGAGTTTCCCATGTTAATCTTACCTAGCAGGTCTCCTGAGAAGTTCACAGGTAACACAATTCCCACAGAGAGGACACCCACAGCAACCAACAGTCCAATAATGTGTCGCTGGAAGGAGAGGTAATGGACTGCATCAGCTCCACATTTATCCCGGATCTCATCATCTCTGGAAACAGAAAGAGAAATGTGCTGACCTGCTGATGAGCTTAAGGAATGATAGTACAAGCTGAATCAAGGTGCCAGAAAAATAAAGACCATGATGTTAAAAGGAGTTCTGTTCTTTGATTCTTGTGGGTTTTTTTTGAACAGGCTGTTGATTTATCTTTTTGAAATCCACCCCAAAGTACTTTTTCTGGTATGAAGTAGGATGGGGTAGAACAAATTATCCCCATAACCTGGATTGCAAAGCCCATCAGCCTTAGTACCCAGAAAATGTCAGATGAAATCAAACCATTTCATTGGTTTGATAGCCTCCTTGGAGATTTTACAGATCCCAACCTTCCTGAAGAAGGAAGAAGAGGATAAAGCCTTATGCTTTAACCTACTATTACACAGGGAAATTTGTTTAGGAAGTTTTCACAGTATAAATATACTATCTTCATTTTAAAAAATTCTATTTATACATGACAGGCCTAATATTGCTGTTCAGCCATAATATATATGTTGGTGACATTTAAAAATGACGTGGAGGCTCACCTGACTGAGATAGTTCAACTTACTTTATCCTGAAGATAGCTGTCAACCAGGAGCAGAAACCCTGCCCAGAAAAAAAACAAAAACGAGTCCAGGTTAATCGGAGTTTCCTTAATTTCCTCTTTTTTGCTACTCCTATTACCTTGTACAACACACATAACAGAAAGCTTTCACAACTTCATTCCATAACCATTACAATACTTTCCAAAAAAAAGGTTAAATTAAAATATTGAACACTACTATTATACAAAATTAAAACCAATTTGCGGGGGGGGGGGGGGGGAGACAAATTACAAGAGCCCAGTGTCTGGAAAGGCCCAAATATGTTGCATATCTTTTTGTCTTTTTTGGAATAATAATTATTTGTCAATTGTTTGACATCTACTGTAAAACTTTCACATTTCAAAAGTATAAAAATGAAATAGCAAATCTGTCTGTGCACGTTTTACCTAGTCTACAGGGGCTCAAAACTATAACACACTCCTCCCGTGGCAGGCGAGGAAGGAAGCCGTATTCCTTGGAAGTTGCTTCTGCATTTGCCAAGAACAGCAATGGGAGGAAATGGGCTACCAGGCTACTCCAGGTACCCAAGACTTTCCCTTGTTCCCTAACAGCCATTGCAATAAACAGCCAGCTCACTATTCCTTCCTGCCTTATCTCTTTGTCTGGCCATCTTCCTTGCTATCAGGAATGTGCTGGGTGTGCCCACTCTAGAATGTTTTTCTGACTCACAGGAAATCAGGGAAGGAGAGGAGATGGGAGAGATCATCCTGAGGAATGGGGCTGGGTGTTATCAGTATGCTGATGACACCCAACTATATTTCTCCATGCCTTCAACTAAGGATCGCGTGGAGGAGGTAATGGGTTGAATGAGGAAAAACAAACTGAAACTGAATTCAGACAAAACAGAGGTTCTTCCTATCAAGGGTCTTTGATAGCAAGGGGGATGGAGTTATGTCAACCAGTCCTGGATGGAGTTACACTCTCTCTGAAAGACTGTGTCTGCAGGTTGGGAGTGGTCCTGGATTCCTTCTCTCCAAATGTCAGCCCAGGTAGATGTGATGGTCAGCAGTGCTTATTATCACCTTCAGCTGATGACAGCTGTGCCCCTTCTTATATTTGGAGGACCTAAAGATGGTAGTGCACGCGCTGGTAACCTCAAAGCTGGACTTCCGCAATACGCTCTACACTGGACTACCTTCGGACCAAGTTCGGAAATTCCAATTGGCTCAAAATACGGCAGTCAGAATGTTACGGGAACTTCCAGGAGTGAACATATTGCATCCATACTGCACTCACTCCACTGGCTGCCAATTAGCATATAGGCAGAGCACAAAGTGTTGGTTTTGACCTTTAAAGCCCTACAGGTTTTAGGTCCAGGTTATCTACAGGATTGTCTTTTCCTGTACAATCCACCCCAAACACTTAAGTCCTCTGGGGGGAAGTTACTTCAACCAGTCAGAACCTGATTGGCAACTGTCACCCAGAGGACCTTTTCATCAGCTGCCCCAAGACTGTGGAATGACCTGCTGGAAGCGCTCCATCCAAAGATCTATCTCTTTCGGCAGGTCTACCCAGCCAGTTTTAATCATGAATTTTGAACTCGTGTACTGTGTTTTAATCTTTGTCTGTGTATTTTTACATGGATTTTGTAGAAATATGTTTAATATGTGTATTTTATAAAATGTTTTAGATAATTACATGTTTTTAATGATGTTGTAACCCGCCTTGAGCCATGAGGAGAGGAGGATAAGAAATAATATTATTACTTTTATTATTATATAGACCCCTTCCTTTCTTTAATACTTAGCCTCTTCCTGGATGACCAAAATTCACCACCTTTGCACTTACCAGATGGCTCACAATCACTCGCCTGTAGTCTACACCCTTCACACAGATCTGCTGCCACTGAACAGGTGTGAGCAGCCCAAATATTTTTTTTCACCAAGAATCAAACCCATTTCCAGTGGTTCTTTACAAGATCCTTACAGAAACATCAGGTCTGGATCACCTGAAGCCAAAAAAGCTCTATTTTCAGTATAAGATACACAAAATTAAGTTCCTCTTTAACTAATATTAAGAGTAAAAATCATTAGGGAGGAAAAGGTTGGAAAGTTTAACTATACTTTTTCCACTGGTAGTACTAAAAACCTGCTTAAAAGCACACCTCCTCGTTTTGAACTGTCTTGAGTCCCTCATACTGAAGCAAAAGGGGGATATTAGTTAATGATTTAATTAAAAAAGTGAAAACGTGGCTATTTGAACAAGTCTTTGAAATCTACACAGAATTATGTCAAACTGAATATTGGAATGGCTCAGATGATGATTTTTGATAACTAGGCTAACAGTGAAGGTATTGGCTTTAGATATTGGTTTTATATGTTTTTAAAGGTCTCATTGTACGTACTTTTTAATTCTGTTTTAAATGTGGTTTTAAGTGTATATTGTTAAGGCATCAAATGGATGTCTGGTTGTAAGCTGCCTTTGGGTTCGAGAGAGGTGGGATAGAAATATTGTAAATAAATAAATAAATAAATAAATGTACAGGTTAAGCATCCCTTATCTGGAATTCCAAATCTGAAAGATTCCAAAATCCAAAATTGTTCACATGAGTGACTGAGATAATTACACCTTTGCTTACTGAAGGTTCAATGTACAAAAATGTATTTTAAAATATTGTGTACAAAATTACCTTCAGGTTATGTGCCTAAGATGTATGTGAAACATACATTTTATGTTTAGACTTGGGCCACATCTCCAAGAGAAGTCATTATGCATATGCAAGTATTTCAAAATTAAAAAATCAAACAACCCAAATACAGGACACTTCTGGTCCTAAGCATTTTGGATAAATGACACTCAACCTGTTATGCTGCTATTAAACATGCTATTGGTCACATTGTTTCTATATCCTGGCTTAATGTTGTGTTATCTGAACCTGTCCAAGAAGAACCACCATCCCTTCACTTCTATAATTAAAAGCCTTCAAGTGGTATTGCTGTAAAAGCTTTATTTTTGCTGCTACTCACATTGTCTCTTTGGTCAAAGTCCACAGAGCTGGAGACAGAAGTGAGACGTTCATAGCGATCATGGCTGTCAGAATGCAGGGCAGACGCCACACTGGAATTACAATCAAAAATGTTATTAACTAGAGGCTCAGAAGATGATGAGAACCCAGAAGCACAGAGTAGTTAACACAAATCAGTTTGCTCCAGCTGAGGTGAAGAGAAAAATGTCCAGAAAGCCCAGAGGAAAAAAAGGCAGGAGAGAAAAGCCATTAGCAGAGACTGCCCCTCTCTTTCTCGTCACTTTGATCCAGGGCAAATCTATCTCTTCCAGAGCCAAACCCATGAAATATACCAATTCAGATGGGCCTTGGATTCAAACAGGGATGCCTTTAATACTTGCTGGGAATGACTTCATGTGCAGGATGGCATATAGTCAATGTCAGAAAAACTGTAGTTTTTTAGATTATAAGTCCTAGAATCCCTACATCATATACCAGTTTCTGAAATTTCAATAGGTATTGCTCACATGTGATTCTGAATATATCTTAGCAGGCATAGAGCTAGAAACTTCCTTTTGGAAGTTGAAATATTTTCAATTATTATTCTTGTGGCCTTATGTTCAGATACACCTACACACCATTAAGGAAATATCACATTCTGTCTTAACGACTTCTGAAGTACTCTTGAGTACATATGGGCTTTCAAGCATAGAAACCCATAGGAATTTTTAAAACATCAATATATTATCAGAAACCTACAAACTGATATTTTTATATTCAGAGTATGGTGAAGCTCACATCTCTGGAAGTTTTGAACAATGCCCGGATAGCCATCTGTCAGGTTAGCTTTGTGTATCTCTGCATGGCAAGGGGTTGGACTGAATGGCCCTGTGGTCTCTTTGAACTCTATGATTCATTAATGAGAATTTCCTGTGTAGAGATTAGCTGTCCAACATATATGTGTGTGAAAGAAAAGAAATCAATTTAATCTATTTCAAGATTGGTCTATTTTCTGGAAAAAATGCAACTTAGTGGCCTTGACAGCCACCATCTCTCATCCCATTCTTCCTTGTAAACTTGATGCCAGGCTAAAAGAGGCACAGAATCTATTAGGCACTTTTATAGCCTAACAAAATAAACTACAACTTAAAAATAATTTATGACAAAAAGAAAAAGAGGGGCTTTCATTCACTACATGGCTGCATCAGTGTTGCCACTGACACTACCAATGTGCTGCATGCATTGAAAAAAATGGGATCCAGGATGTCCATCACCTACTCCGCAGCCAAACTTGCATGTGAAGGCAAGGAGATGTAGGAAGAAAAAGACAAGAAAGATTAAGCTTGTCCCAACATGAAGAAGAAGAGAGATGTGAATTAATAACAAGGAAGTTGTGAAGGTCTGCACTTTCCTTCTTGAGATACAACAGCCAGGTAACTCCCTAGGAAATGATCAGAGGACAATGCGTACACACAGACACAAACAAAAACACAAAAATAAAAAAAACCCATCCCCACATCACGATAATAAAAAATTAAGCTTAAGAACTCTCAGCCACAGACTAGTAAAAAAGGTAAAGGTTTCCCCTTGACATTAAGTTTAGTGATGTCCGACTCTGGGGGGTGGTGCTCGTCTCCATTTCTAAGCCAAAGAGCTGGCGTTGTCTGTAAACATCTCCAAGGTCATGTGGCTGACATGACTACATGGCGCACTGTTAACTCTCTGCCAAAGTGGTATCTATTGATCTACTCACATTTGCATGTTTTCAAACTACTAGGTTGGCAGAAGTTGGGGCTAACGGTGGGAACTCACCCTGTTCCCTGGATTCGAACCACTGACCTTTTGGTCAGCAAGTTCAGCAGCTCAGAGAGAGAAAACGGTCAGTGTAGTAGACTCATATAATGCAGTTCAATGCAGTTAAACTATATTACACGAGTCTACATGGACTATATAATACAATTTCAGACTGCATTGTATGGCAGTGTAAGGTAAAGATTTCACCTGACATTAAGTCTAGTCGTATCCTACTTTGGGAGGTGATACTCACCTGCATTTCTAAGCCAAAGATCCAGCGTTGTCTGTAGACACCTCCAAGGTCATGTGGCTAGCATGACTGCATGGAGCGCCATTACCTTCCTGCTGGAGCAGAACATATTGATCTACTCACATTTGCATGTTTTTGAATGGTGAGGTTGGTAGAAGCTGGGGCTAATAGTGGGTGCTCATCCCGCTCCACGGATCTGAACCAACAAACTTTCAATCAGCAAGTCTAGCAGCTTGGTGGTTTAACCTGCTGTGCCACCAGGGACTCTGTACAGACTAGTACAGAATTCCTTAATGATATAGGTTATGAAACAGAAAATGTAAGAATTTATGAAAGAGAGTAAAACTGAATTCTGAATGGTAAATTTTCCACCCGACTGGAAAACTGTCACACCACTGATAATGATGACAGTTTCATATTTGTAAAAAAATCTGTCTGGAAATTTAGGTTATACATCATCTAGATGAAGCAGTTGATGACCTTTAAGCTTGTCATTCAATTAGTCAGTCCTCCATGACTCAATTATCCATAGCTTGATTTAAAAAAAAATCTGAAAAGTAAACCTTTAATATCTCAATATATATATAAGGGATGGATTTTGGTATTTACAGGAGGGTCCTAGAGCCAAGTGATATTTATAGTATTACTTTTCTTGTGTATGCAGGGCTCTGTATGTTGTTAAAATAAATGTGATTTCATGTGATATTACTTTTAACAAAAGTTTTGATCCCATGGTGTCACAATGAGAAGAGTAGTAGCAAAACACTTTAAATGGAGTGGTGTTATTCATTAAAGTGCATGCTCAGCTGTTCTGATGTACAGTCAGCAGCACATGAACTAAGATGACGGGTCACCACGGAATGTTTTCTAAGCCTCAGTATTATCATTATGAGCAATAGCTTCTTGCCTATGAATTCATTTATTTACATTGCAATACTTAGAACCGCAAGGGGGAGCCAGAAGGTAGCATGTTGCTAGGCAGATTTTAAGACAGGGTTTGGCACTGTGCAATATAAGAAGTGGCAATGGAAAGATGGAGGGGGTGGCCTGTACATTGCCTGGTCTGTCTAAGAGCAGGAAAACATTCTTAGGCACTTAATCTTTCTCCTCCTGCTAAAGAATAAATGGTGGACATTTTATGATTCTGGAGAGGAAACATCTCACTAAATCTAAACTGAGAAGGAAGGAAATAAATGTACCCAGCAGCCCCCATATTCATAGGTTCATTTATCACCATCTGACAAAACGTGTCCTCTGTAGGCATTTTGAAGTCATCCTGTGCAACTCTATGTCCTTCATTTCAATATTATATTATATATTATATTATTAATATTTTATTGTTATATTATTAGATAGGGGTCACTATTATATGCATTTTCACGTATCGACACACATCCCCTGCAGACAAGGGTCTCATGCCATAGTTTTGCACCTCATTGTTTACACAATGCTAGAACTTGCCCAGCACCGGGCTCTGCCTTCAGTGCACTCTGACATCTATTCTATATTATTTTCAGCTTTATAAAGTAGCCACAGAATGGGAGGGACCAAAATATGTGGTCCATGGAATGGTGCCAGTCTGTGAGTCATCAGCTGTAGTCTGCAGTACATTTCCAGGAAGATATGCCATTATAATAATAACATGGCACAAATATGGTATATCATTGGGAGAAAATGCCAGTTCCCCACATCAGGTATCTCAAAAAGCACCAATGCAGAGGAAAATTCATAAACAGATGCTTAAAGAGAAACAAAGACTTCTCTGTTGCAAAGCCTCAAGACAGAAACTGTTATACAGGAAAATATATCCTGCAGCAAAGGTATTGGGCACTCCAAAGTTCTGACACCACTATCAAGTTGGATCAATTTTGTAGCATTAGGGCCCTAGCAATGGAGATTCCTTTTCTGATGCCAAGATGCATTACTGTAATATGTGAAGTTACAATATAGAAATTAGAGAAAGGATATGTATTTATTTAAAAAAATACTTTTTGGAAATGACTTCCACAAGACCCTTGCCCACAACAAATACAGTGCTCCCTTGCTACTTTGTGGTTCACTTTATGTGGACTTGCTGTTTCGCGGGTTTTTGAAACTATTAATATAAAATATAAAATATTTACATCTAGTGGAGGCCAGGGACCCTGGAAGTGTGGCAGCCTGAGGCACGGCGGGGAAGGCCTGCCTCCCTGGCTTCCACAGACCCTGGAAGTGCAGCGGTCTGAAGCGCGGTGGGGAAGGCCTGCCTCCCTGGCCTGCTGCTGCCTGTGTGGCTCTGGAGGCTCTGCCAGGGTCTGCGGAGGCCCGGGAGGCAGGTAGGTGCCCTCGGGATGGGCTGGGAGACGGGTAAGGAAGTGCAGGTAAGAAAATAATATATAAAATATATAAAATAATGTATAAATATTAAAATTAATATAGAGTCCCTACTTCATGGATTTTCACTTATTGTGGGTGGTCCTGGAATGGAACCCCCACAAAGAGTGAGGGAACACTGTAATGCATCCAAGACCTGCAAGGAGGAATTCCACACTTATTTAGACAACTTTTCATTCAAGTACACTCAGACAATTTCAACATTTTGATTACTAAAAACACGGGGGGCATAATCACTGCTAAAAGCCCCACTGCCAGGAATCACTCTGCTGTGGCTACCTGTCTCCTGATGCTAATTATGAAGGTAAGGAATTGAATTAAGAAAGCAGTGAAGAGACAACAACTTCTGTCACTGGTTTGATCATTCTCTCAATCGCTTTTTGTGAGAAGCTGGCTGTGGGGGGTAGCCTGTCTGAAAGTGCAGTTCACAAACTGAGGGTTTCCTGATAAACCTCAGGCACAATATGTGGCAAAACCAACTAACCAGCTACTATTATGGTTACTTTAAGAACACTCAAATCTCACAGAAAGGCTGATTATCATCCCCCATCCCAAATGAAGTTGCGAGATCTGGAATTCAAGTGTTTTATTCGTAGCATGGAACAGTGTTTATCAGCTTCAGGGACTGGTTTTCTGGATGTTGAGTCCTGTTGGGAACAACTATTCTGTGAATCAAGTTAATCAGTTACTTGTCTTGCATGAGTCAGGAGGGAGGGCAGAAGTGCCTTCAGAAAGAAAGTAGTATTTACACTTGTCAAAAGTGTTAGCACATCTCCCAGGAGCTGTAGACTTTTTTGGACAGTTAGGGCTTGTGCTTGTTCTTAGAGATGTCAAATCTGGCCACAATGACATATGGCTTAGTTATCTCCCATTTGAATTCTTGCAACACAGTGTAGATAGGTCTGCTGATGGGAAGCACAAAAGCAAATCATGAAGGCAACTGGAGGTCTTTGGATGACCATTTGTCAGGGGGGCTTGGGATGGTTTCTTCCTATCTGGCAGAATGCAGTTGGACTGGATGGCCCTTGAGTCCCCTTTCAATACAGTGATTTTATTGGGAAATACATGGAGGCATATGGCCTCTGAAATGAGATCCAGGCTCATCCTTTGTGACTAGAAGCCATTACTACGCTTGTCATCTAATTCAGAGTATTCCTAATTGAGCTATTGCAGCATTTTGTTTCAGTGAGTTCTAGTCTAGAACTATAGAATCATAGAATTGGAAGAGACCTCGTGGGCCATCCAGTCCAACCCCCTGCCAAGAAGCAGGAAAAGTGCATTCAAAACCCCCCGACAGATGGCCATCCAGCCTCTGTTTAAAAGCCTCCAAAGAAGGAGCCTCCACTATACTCCAGGGCAGAAAGTTCCACTGCTGAACAGCTCTCACAGTTAGGAAGTCCTTCCTCATGTTCAGGTGGAATCTCCTTTCCTGTAGTTTGAAGCATTGTACCACATACTAGTCTCCGGGGCAGCAGAAAACAAGCCTGCTCCCTCTTCCCTATGACGTTCCCTCACATATTTATACATCGCCATCATGTCTTCTCTCAGACTTCTCTTTTTCAGGCTAAACAGGCCCAGCTCTTTAAGCCACTCCTCATAGGACTTGTTCTCCAGACACTTGAGCTTAATCTTATTCTGTATGAAGACATTCCTCCTATCTGTCTTGAATCTTTCAGTTCATAGCTTCAGTAGATGCTCTTGTGTTCTAGTATTATGAGGGTAGAGGAAATATACAGAACCCAGAAGCAAATTCAAGCTTAACTATGTGTAGTGAAGAAATATTTGCTATTATGCATGCTGTAACTCTGAACCATTTCTAAAATGGAAAAAATAATGTGCCTTTGGAACATCATCTTGCAATTCTGAGTTCAAACTTCAAAAATCTGTCTTGGACTATGTCATGGATAATACACGTCAAGCCGCTATGGCAAAGTGGATCAATTTTTACATTGTTGGAATCTAGTCAAAACAACGAGCAGTTGATCCTAACACCAGAACTGGTTATGATCAGCTGAAGAATCCTGCCAAACTTGGAGTTGGACTTGTTCACCAATTTCACCACAACATGCTTGCCTCTGCACCTCAAACCTTTCTCCTGTTTAGTAACCTTTTCTTCCCATCCCTACTTTGAAGCAATTTGAGAGCACCAGAAGGTAAATGATCAAAATAAACACACACAAAAAACACAGACAACACAGAAACAATATCAATGCCACCTTCTCCCAAAATGAAGATTAGTTTAGAAGCAAAGGAGAGAACTATAAATGCAGCAGCAAGAAAGGACTGAGGAAGAAAGGAAGCACCCGGAAAAACCCACAACATACTATTCCCGTTCCTCTCGCTCCTGCTGCCAGCGCCGCTGCCTGGGGACAGAAGAAAAATAATGAAGAAAATAAAAATAAAGGGACTTTCAATGACGTGCCAGGATTTTCCTTGCCCCTGGCTGATATTTGAGGGAAATCTGAAGAAGAAAATAAACTTAGTCTTGCAGCTCATCTGCAGTGCAGAATTGGAAACTGATTCGTTCTGAACCTCTTTCGCTCACCCATTTGAAGATTTCTCTGCACTCTATGGTATCTATTCTACACTCCTATGTAGAGTTGGAAAAATGATGTTTGAACTCCAGCTTCCTAAAGCATATAATTTTCCTACTGAAACAGCTTTACTGTTTGTTTCAGGCCACAATTCAAAACAATGATTCTGACCTATACCGAGACTCTCTGAAAGATAATATCTCCCAATCATATCCCCCCTGTGAAAGCATTCCAGTTCCACGGTTCCACCACAATCTCTCTTTCCATCTAAAGAAAACTTCAATAGATACTGTTAGACACCATCTCCAATCAGCCTCAGCTTACCTAATAGTTATGAATAATGGGAGCTATAATTCAACAACTCTTGGGGAACAACAGTTTCTTCTCTCTTTGTTTAAGGGGAATTATTTTTGGAAGACGTAAGTTCAAGATTACTTAGTGTTTCTATGGAAGATCCTCTCAGTATCTTATGTATCTTCAGCTCATAGAGGAGAGGCAATACAAATAGACCAGTTGCATACTTCAAGTTGTGCTCTTTAGCTGTACATTTTCTTTTTCTCTTTTGTGCTCATGGTGAAACCCTCAGTAAGCTATATGCTTTCCACTAGAGGAATTGAAGTGGATGGCAATCTTATCACTGATGCTGTGGCAGAGAATTGGATGGGATGATCCTTAAGGTTATTGCAAACTCCACGATTCTCCTTCAAGATGGTTGTCTATTCTCTGCTCTCTGTTGTTGACTTGCACTGATATGCAGGGGGCAACAGTACCGAATCCTTTCTTTCTCCTTCAGTTTCCTGAGGTTATTGAAAACTGTAATGCCTATACAAATGAAAGCTGCAACATCCAAGAACGTAGCAGGCTGCCCTGCTTCAAATTGTTTGGGAAAGGAAATGTCAGTAAAATCAAAGATCTGACTTTCTCAGCAAGCTGTTTGGAAGAGCAAGAAAGCACTTTTACATGTTCTGAATTAATATCTCCAATCATCCCTATAATCTATTGGCAGTCTTTGAGGCTGCAAATTACCACATTTCTGATAATCCTTAATGATATATGTACCGTATATACTCAAGTATAAGCCGACCCAGATATAAGCCGAGGCATCTTAGTTTACCACAAAAAAACCTGGGAAAATATATTGACTCGAGTATAAACCAAGGGTGGGAAATGCAACAGCTACTGGTAAATTTCGAAACCAAAATAGATACCAACAAAATTACATTAATTGAGGAATCAGTAGGTTAAATGTTTTTGAATATTTAAATAAAACTGTAATTTAAAATTGTCCAACTCTGATTAAACCATTATTCTAACCTTCTTCAATGTAAATTTGCTTACATATCTTTTCAATAATAATAATACAAAGAGTAAAATAATAAATGTAATAATAGAGTAAAATAATACGGGACATATAATAACAATAATTAGAGTAAATAATACATATAATAATAATAGAGTAAAATAATAAATGTAATAATAATAATAAACAGTAAATAATAAATGTAATAATAATATTAAATACTCGAGTATATACGATACTCTGAAATGCAATGGGCATTAGATTGTATTTGATTGGAAAACTGGGGATAGGCTTTTGTGGTGTCTGAATCCAAACCTAGAAGTTATCTCTAGCTTGCACCCTCCTGACTATCTTCTTGGTTTGTGAAAAATCTCTCTCAACACACAGGCATTTGGTCATGACATTTTATTCCTTCTCTGACTTATGAATTTTAAATGTGGGTCTTTTAAAAGCGTGTCCATTTTATTTACAATTGTCAAGAAAAATGTGATGTTATTTTATTGTAATGCACTACTGGGCTTGGCCTCATGTAAGCCATCCCGAGTCACCTTTGGTGGTGGGGATGGTGCTGGGGTATAAATAAAGATTATTATTATTATTATTATTATTATTATTATTATTATTGTGATACATTTCATTGAATTTATTAATGCCAACTTGAGTACTGTGGAGAGGTGGATTGATATACCCAAGACACCCGTAAGAAAAGTTAGTCTGTGAAATGCTTCCATTAGGAGATAGATTATGCTGGTCTCTCCAAATTAGCACTTGAACAATAATCTCACTAACACATAAACACACATGGCCTGGAGAGCTGGCCATTAGAAAGAGTGTACTTCTTAACTATTGTAGGAGAAAAACAATAATGTTAGCAACAACTCTGCCTTGAAATAACACTTGCTATCCAAAGAACTTAATAGCTAATTCTATATATCACCATTATCATTATTTATACTTCCCCTTTCCCCAAAACCAAGATTAAAGGCTGCTGTACTGAAAGAGGAATGAGGCTAGGACTGGTCATGCTAATTGGGGAATTCAAGGAGTTGCAGCCCAAAACACTAACTTGATGAGATTTGGGACCAATGGCTGTTTTATACAGCACAACTGATTTGAACACAAGGGGAATTTTAAAAATGTTGTGAGATATGGCACAAGTGGCTGCTATACTAACTGGTATTGGACTCAAGAGGACATTTCAGCATTGTTATAGTAACGGAGAGTTTTACTTGCCTGTCAGCATCAGTCACCAGCGCCAGACGCCCATAATCCCAGGCCACTTTACGTAAAATGGAAAAAACAAACAGTAGTGCCTGCAGAAAGGCAAACAAGAAAATGTAAGCCAGAGTTCTCAAGGATGGCTATCTTCCGCCCAGCTCACTTGACATCATTGTAATGTTCCCAATAATATATAACAAACAGGAAAGCTAGCTTACTGTATATTGCAAACCAAAACTACAAAGGCCAGTGAATCTCCAAATTCATCACAAAATAATATTAGGTTAAAAAAAGGAAGCAAATATTGTTTCTGCTGTGATTAACACCCCATAGTTACTCGAGTCTAAGGCACCATTGAATTCAATGCACACCTTAATGTTCAAAAACCTGAAACCCCCCCAAAAAGTGTTTGCTGACAAATGTAATGCACAGCAGCAAAGGATGCACTCTTTGTAATATGGCCATAACAGTTGCAGTCTGCTTAGGATTCCTTCTTTAAAAGCAAAAGTGGTAGAACACCAAAGCTTTCAGCAATGGAAAAGAATCCTTGGATGCATCTATGTTGTACAATGAATCCACTTTAACTGCCTTGATTCAATGCTATGGAGTCACGGGAACTGTAGTTTTACTACCAAGGAGTGCAGATGCCTCACCAAACTACAAATCCCAGGATTAGTTAGCATTGGTCTATGACAATTAAATTACAGATGACATCCCTCAAAGAGGAGCTCCAGGTGCAGTTCCTGAAATGGCTTCCTTTTTTTTTTTTGCTTTAACTCAGCACTAAGGTTACTGTATTTCGTGAATCTAATGCACACCCTAATTTTGGCAAGGTGATTTAGCAAAAAAACAACAACAACAACAACAAGAAAAGGAAAAGGTGAGCGTTAGGTTCAAGTATATCTACAGTGTGTTAACCTCAAACATGATGAGCTGGTAATTGTGCTATTTTTATTTTAATAGTGTGGACATTGGTGTAGAATTTGGCATCCCACACAAATATTTCTGGGACTTCAATTTCCAGGATAAAAACATTAACATTCAAGTCCTTAATATTTCTAGCATTTTAAAATACAGTGCACAATAGCATAGATATTCAGAAGAAAAATCTTAAATGTACCTTCAATTGCTGAAATGCATATCAAGCTAATAATAAACATAGCTGTAATACTTAACTTGCTCCTTAATAGCAAAATATTAGTGAGTGTGGAAGGAAAAAAAAGGTTGCTTACAAGATGTGGGAATCGCATGGCCCTCCAGATAGTTTTGGACTGGAATTCCTAGCATTCATCACCACCACTGACTATGTTGTTTAGGGCTGTTGGGAGTTGAAATCCAACATCATCTGAGGACTACATGATTTCTAACTCTGTATTAAGGCCTGAATCTAATTTCTAGTCCCAAAAGCAGCCTCAATGAATCAATAGGAGCTGCAATTTGAACTCAGTATTCAAGTTCTTCCATTAATTCAAAGGGTCTGGAATAGTTGGTGGTAGGAAATGGATTGATGTTTCTCATAATCTCCAGTTCAAAATCTGAAAATGAAGGCCAAAGTTATCTTGTAAGAGTACAATTCTCTGAATCCCCCACTCAAGAATAGGGCACCTCTTTTTTTCATGAGGAAGATTCCAGGTTCAAGTCCTTACATGTCAGCTTAAGCCAATAAAGGTCTGTGCCACCATATAATTTTGCTTCTAGAGCTGCACCAAGTAGTAACAGTATTCTTGCCCCAAGCCAGATATCAACAGTACTTACAAGAAAACACATAAAATCAAGGGCGAGAACAGTGGGCACCCCTCCGAAGGGCAGGCCCTGCAGCACGGTGCTGCGGATGCGGGCGCTGTAGCAATAGTCCTTGGTGCTGTTGTTGCTGCAGCTGGAGGATCTGCAGGTAGTTTCGACCGCGCCCAAGGCGACGAACACAAAGGGAAGCATCTCTATTGCTTCATTGTTTTACCTGTGGAAGGAAGAAGAAAACCTCATTAGAAGCTGAAGGAGAAATGCTAGTTTAGTTGGCATCTCAGATCATGCGAGATGAAAACAGCCAAGGGACCTGTTTGCCCACGCTTCTCTCCCTGGCCCTACCTCTTGCATTGCATGGGCTCAGAAGACAAGAACTCCTTGAACTGGCAAGCTAGACAGCTGATGAGGCCTACCTGTCCCCAAGCCAACAACTTTTTGTTCCTGCCAGTACTAAAGCAAGTATTGCATAAAATCAGAGCTTGGAATGAACTTAATTTAGTTACATTTGACTAGTTAAGTTCTAATGTATTTCCCTTTCTGCTGATGAGACTTAATAATTAAAATGCTGGATAATAGTACTCACTATTATATGTTGAAATAAATTCAAGATTTTGAATTATTTTTCATTTTGGGGTAGCTGGTCTCAGGGAAAGGATATTTGGAATGGACAAAACCAGGCAGCATTTGCACTGCTGAATTAATGCCATTTGATAGCACTTTAACTGCCATGGGTCAATGCTATAGCGTCATGGGAGTTGTAGTTTGATGATGCACCAATATTTTGGTCAGAAAAAAAGTTAAAGACTCTGCAAAACTATAACTCCATGATCACACAGCATTGGGCCATGGCAGTTAACTCTATAGTGTAGATGCTAATTAATGTTAGAAATTAAAGCTAGGAAGGATTACATTTGCGACTTCTGACACATTCAAGAAAAGGGCCATTGAAAAAACAATTATTCCAGTGAGCAGAAAATATTCTGCATATTGTCAGAGGCATTCAATAATTCCAATTAAGAATTCTCCATCCTTGACTCATTGGCTACTCTTTGTATCCATACACTGCTGACTTCAGTACTCCATTGCAGTACTGTCCTCTTAACTGAAATTAGCACAAAATTACTTATTTATATTTTCCAATCCAGACAAAGTATTCAAACTGTTTACAGGATGAAGAAATTGCCTACATATTTTTATCAGACAGTATGGAGAGATGAGTGACACAGGCCAGTGGTTCCCAACCTTTTTTTGACCAGGGACCACTCTCCAACATTATGACCAAAAAGGCTATGAATCGGTTTTTGGTCAACTTTAGATTTTGTTTGGTTATTTGGGGTGCTGATTTGGAAAATTGCATTGGGTAGATCACATCAGCTCTAGTAGTCACCATCTGCTCGCCCACAGAAAACCATATTTAATAAGCCTCGGCGCTATAAGAGGGTTTCGCAAGACCACACACTTTCATTGTTTAGTCATGGTGAGGCCGCGGACCATATTTAAGTTCTTGCGGACCACTGGTGGTCCATGGACCACAGGTTGGGAACCACTGCATTAGACTGGAGGGCTGGTGGTTCAATATATCTACAGGGAAGTTTTTAAAAATTACAAAAAGAACATTTTTGACAGACAAAATGTGCCACTGGTTGGAGAGAATAGTGACAAACACACAATATTCTGTAATTTCAATTTTTTTGAGAAAATAATACTAGTAATGATGCAATGAATGAAACTTTGCCCCCATTAATATTAAAATAACAAGTCATTTTCCACATTTCTAAATATCAGGGTTAGTCCTTTTTTTTTTAGAGATTTTTTAAAAATCTCTAATATACTGGTAAGGAGATATGTTAATAGACTCATTTCATCTGTTTTCTGTGGGTTAAATGCAGAAGATATTTTCTTTGTAAAATATTCCAATTACATATCATTAAGCTAACATTTGATATGAAGTAATACGGAAGCAGTATGCAGTGTATATGACTTCAAATTTAATTATGAGTTTTAATTATAATTGTTTGAATATATATCCTTTTATAACTGGGACTGGTATTGTTTTGTTATGCTCTTTTAACAATATGTATTTTTCATTGATGTTCATGTTTTATAACTATTATATGCATCTAGGAAGGGATGGGTAAGAAACAATCATTATCATCATCATCATCTTATTGAAGTAGCCTCGTAGTGACCGCATGAATTTTGTAATATTCTTAGAACACTTATAGTTTTTTTTTACGGTTCCTTCCTCCGAAACAAACTCTATAGCATCTTCTATTCACTAATGGTCTCCCATCCATATACTAATCAAGGCTGAGTTTGCTTAACATCCAAGATCAGACAAAATCTGGTGCCTTTAGAGTATTTATATAATATGCCAAAGCTCATGCTTCCCTATGAGATACCTCCATGCCTATTGCTGGACGCACACGAAGGCACTACATCTCTTATTGATCCAAGAGCACTTTGTTTCTGGCTACTATCCTTGAGGGTTTACAAATTGGCGAATGGCCAAAGTTACAATAAGAAAATAACATATATGAGGGTACAAGAACAAAAACAATGCTTCCCATATCCCTTGTAAAAGTAGTGCTGCATATATGGTTTTGATAAACCTGTAGTGTATTTTAAGATACATATTTTGCAATGTGTGCACTAGTTTTGGAAATATCCAAAAGGTCTGTGAGACTTTGAGATATATTTGTAGCCCTAGGCCTGGACTGGGACTATCAATGATGCCCTCTTTCTGGAGTTTGCATCTGTCCCTTGTATCTCTCTTGAGGGACACTGGGAACACCCAGTGCTGACCAAGTGTATCCTGCTATGTACAAAACATTCTGTCCAATTGGTCCTAAGTACATGGTCATAGCTTCCCCTTTTTACTAATTATAAAAGAATGCAATTTACAAAAATAGCTTCACACAAAAAAGCTCCTTCCAAACTAATAGGAAATCAAAATTTGGTTCATTCTAACTCTAACTGGGCCCCTGGTGGTGCAGCTGGTTTAACCACTGAGCTGCTGACTGAAAGCTTGGCGGTTCGAATCAAGAGAACGGAGTGAGCTCCCACTGTTAGGTCCAGCTTCTGCCAACTTAGCAGTTCGAAAACATGCAAATGTGAGTAGATCAATGGGTACCACTTCTGCAGGAAGGTAATGGTGGTCCATGCAGTCATGCTGGCCACATAACCTTGGAGGTGTCTATGGACAACACGGGCTCTTTGGCTTAGAAATTGAGATGAGAACCACCATTCCCCAGAGTCAGATACAACTAGGCTTAATGTCAGGGGAAACCTTTACCTTTACCCAACCTCTAAATGAAATGTGCATAACTCATTTCTTCAAATGCAGAACTGATCAGTGGTGTGTGGCTAACAAAAGGATTCTTATACAAAAGCCAAAACGTTAGTTCCTATGCTGTCTGAAGGATTCTGGGAGTTGTCATCTAAATAAGGAACTTTTCCAACTTCTGACTGAAAGGCTACCTATCAGATTTTGAGATATTTAGCTTGAAAAGCAGACTGGCATCCCAACAGCAGCAACTGGTAATGGAACAGGCTTTGTTATGAAATCTGTATAGCTGAAATCCTCCCCTTGCTCTCGCAAATTAATTACTATTGCCTTGAATGAGTACAGATCACATGGATTCAAGCTGGCAGAAGAAAGGTAAACAAAGGGCCATGCAGAGTATTGATTGACAAGCTATGCATACAGGGAATCACCTCAAAGCTGGAGGACTTTGTTGACTTAATAGGAGGCAGGAAGAAGAGCTGGGAAGGTAGCCACATAATGCATTAAATTCATTGCAGAGATAGGTCAGAAAAGATAGGAAAATACTGCCAGTGTGATGGTTGGCGAAAACGATGAAAAGCAGAACAGCAGGGCTGAGCCCTAAGAAAGGCAGTGGGAGGAATGTCTGCAAGAAAAGAATAGTGAGGCAGATACCAAACTGAAGAAAGTGTGAGTAACTTTGGGGCGGGGAGAGTGGACAGATGAATCGAAAGGAAAGTGTAGGTCTTCTTACCTACACAAAAAGTTAAAGATAAAGCGGGGAAAGGCACTGTGGTTAATCCTCTACTATCTTTCTCAGCTACTTTTAAAATATCCTGGGGTGCATCTACACTATAGCATTAATGAAGTTTGAGTCCACTTTAACTGTCATGGCTGTGGAATCATGGGAGATGTAATTTGGTGAGATTCAAGCACGTTTTGTCAGAGAAGGCTAAGGATCTTGTAAAATTAAAACGTATATAGTATTAGGCATTAGGCATGGCAATTAAAGTGAAGTCAAACTGCATTAATGCTACAGTTTAGATGCAACTCTAGCACCCTGTTGAGAAGACTTGGATATTACTTACCCACACATGTCCCAGTTTTAATCTGAGGGTATTAATACTCCAGCCATTCAGGGGAGTGGGAGTATGCAGGATGATGAGATTATCCCTTAAAATGTTATAATGAGAACTTGCAACTGATAATTCAGAATAGCTTGCTAACCCATCACCTGATATTCAGAATATCCTGCCTGAAGTGGAAGTAGAGTGGCAAGTAGGATATGGGTGGGGAGGTTACAAGTTGAGTAACCTCTTATCAGAGAAAGGGGTCAAACCAGGTAGCCTGTGACAGCCATCTGTCAGTTCTAAGAAGAATGTGTTGATTGTTGTTTCTCTCCCCACTGTTCTCTCACAGCTGCGATTCTTGAAAAGAGTCACTTTCTAGTCCAGTGCCATCCAGTCCTGACAGACTATGCAAAATTGTTCCACAAGCTGTCATTTTCGCTTAATCATTTGTCTGTTCTTCGAGTTCAACTGATCCTTCCATTATTATTCTGCACTATACCTCTCCTGCATCCTGGAATCAAAAAAATTACAAGGCTAACTGTGTTGCATAAATGTATATGAGTACACAATTTCAAAATTCATCTTGCAGAGATGCCTGTATTGGGTTAACCAAAAGACACAAAATACATCTCACTATCTTTCGAAGCTCACTGTTTTTTTCATCAGGCAAAACGAAGAAAATGGCACATAGCGGAAGGAATGTGATGGTGTTGTGGTCATGTCCTCTATGTCAGTAGTTCTGAACCTGTGGGCCCCCAGGTGTTTTGGCCTACAACTCCCAGAAATCCCAGCTAGTTTACCAGCTGTTAGGATTTCTGGGAGTTGAAGACCAATACATCTGGGGACCCACAGGTTGAGAACCACTGCAGTTTACATGTT